AACCGCCAAGCACCACCAGGTGTGATCCCTGAGCACAGAACCAGGAATAAGTCATGAACCCTGGTGATATAACTCAAAATGTCCCCCACAAAACACTTTTTAATTAAAAAAAAAGAATGGGGTGAAGATGGGCTGAAATACTGTTGAACCCTCAACAATAAGATTATGGCCCCTGTTTAATCCTTGACGAAGCCTAGAACTGTGCTATTTGGAGAAGGTGAATAGATGGACCCTGGGCACAACTGGGAACCAGCATGTGATCGTCCAAAATGAGCCATTAAGAGCAAGTCTACAAACTGAAGAATGAGTATTGAAGCCTGTTAATAGACTTCCAGCATCTTGACCAAGTGATATAACTTTTAAATAGGGGGTGAGAGTGTGCTTCTTGGAAAAATTTCACTAATTCAAGGAAAATACTTTAAAAGACAATTTAGCCAGATTCTTTCACAGTAGAGCAGTGATTGGCATTGCCTGGCAGACACAGAAAATCTGATCACACTTGGGCTCTTCTCTTGTGATAGGCAACAGCTATCAAGCAAACAAACCAAAGAAAAGGAAAAAAAAACTTAGAAGAAGAGAAATAACCCAAAGAACAGGGAAAAAAGTTAAAGGCCAAAGTGATAGTACAGCAGGTAGGGAATTTGCCTTACATGCCACTGACCGAGGTATAATCCCCAGCATCCCACGTGGTTCCCCAATCCCACCAGGAGTAATTCCCGCGTAGTTTCCCCAAGCCCACCAATAATTCCTGACCTTGAAGTCAGGAGTTACCTCTGAGCACCGCTGGGTATGGTCCCCAAAAAGAAAAAAAAGTCTAAAATTAAATAATAATAAGGGTTTCAATTGTACAATGATCAAACACCCATCCCTCCACCAGTGCCCATTTTCCACCACCACAGGTCCCAGTATCCGTCCCACCCCCCACCCCCCCACCCCACCCTGCCTCTGTGGCAGGGTATTCCCTTTTGTTCTCTCTCTCCTTTTGGGTGCTGTGGTTTTCAAAAGAGGCATTGAGTGTCAATCATGTTTGGTCTGTAGTCTACTTTCAGCACACTTCTCCCATCCTGGGAGGATCCTTCCAACACCTTTATTTGGTGCTCCCTTCTCTGTCTAAGCTCCCTTTTCCCCTAGAGTGTGTGTCTGGCCTCCAGTCCATGGAGCAAAACTCCTGGTACTAATCTCAGCCACTCTTGGGTGTTAGTCTCCTATTTTGTTATTTTATGTTCCCCAGATGAATGCAATCTGAGAAAATGTCTCTTATATTATTAAGGACAAGATGCTATTTTAAAATTATCAAAGCATTCAAATATCCCTGAAAATGATTTGTTGCCCAAATGAAAACTTATGATGAAGATTTAGAAATAAGTGTGTAATGATATTTTTGCCAAGAGAAGAAAAATAAGAGAGAAAAACATTTAAGTAACTGCAAGGTGTCTATTGTTTGAAAGATAGTTATTCTAGAAAGAGAACTAAGGAGAAAATCATCAAAACAAGTAATTCTCAGAACAAGGTAATGAGTCTCCAGGCAGCTATAACAAACTGAGAGACCATTACAGTGAATAATAAAAATTCCAAAGCATGCCATTATGAAATTTCAAATACTGGAGACAAAGAGAGATCTCTGAAAAACCCCAGAGAGGCAAGTCAAACAATAAACAAAGGACCCTCTCCCCAAAATAGATTTTTCCATGGAAATGTAAAGTAGAATGTAATAAAGCAATGATTTCAAATTGGATGAAGAAATTACATATAACCTAAAAATTAGTTACTCAGTAAGCAAAGCAGAAGTTTTTACATACTGCCACAAAGATTTTCTCTTTCATGGTGAACCCTTCCTTGTGAAATTTTTTGATATTAGTTTTTACTAATGCTAAGTAACTGATAAATCGGCAGTATGATGCCAATTAGTACACATGACAAGAAAGAAAATGGATTCAGACATAAATAGACTTATCTCCTATTAAAAAGTCTACTGGTAGATATCTTTAGGCATGAGTGACAATTCTGTAGGTTTATCATAGACCTCCTAGCTTTTCCATTTATTAAGCCTATGTATTACATTATCAAATTTATCTCATGATCCCACTAGTAGTTAAAATTCCATTCATCATGTCTTTATTACAACTAGAAAAGTATAAAGAAAAACTGAAGTCTTACCATCCAAGCCGAATCCATCTTTTTAAACATCCATCTTGGAAATTTCTTAAAACACTTTTATGTATATACATTGGCCCAGGTTTTTTATATTAGGAAGGTAATAGATTAAAACTGGGACACAAGGAGCAAATTTAGCATCTTATATATATATATACGAACATACTCAAATTCCTGTGGTGCAGTATTGCCTCTGTATAAGTCTTGTTTGGAATAGAAGCTTCTGTTTTATTAAAATCACCTTTGCCAAATTCTTTTACTTTTTAATATAAACAGATTCTGGTTTTGATTTTTGAAATCAAATTTAAAAAGCCATTATATAACTTGAAGACAGTGCAAGAAATATAGAATATTGGCCCCTTCGGTAAATGGGGAGAAGAAATGAACAGAAGCTTCCTCGAAGAAGAAATACAAATGACCAAAAGGCTCATGAAAAAATGCCCTATATCACTAACCATCAGGGAGATGCAAATCTAAATAAAACTGAGATACCGTCTCACACACAGAGACTGGCACACATCAAAATAAAACAAGAACAATTAGTGCTGGCACGAATGCAGGGAGAAAGGGACTCTCACTCATTGCTGGTGGGAATGCTGACTAGTCTAGCCTTTTTGGAAAACAGTAGGGATTTTGCTCAAAAAGCTAGAAATTGAGCTTCCATTCGACTCAACAATACCAATTCTGGAAATATACCCTGGGGGACCAAAAACACACAGCAGAAATGCCATCTGCCCTGTGCAGCAATATTCACAATAGCCAGAAACAACCCAAGTGGCCTGAAAACAAACAACTAGATAAAGAAACTACAGTACCTCTACAGAATGGAATACGACGCAGGTGCTAGGAAAAATGAAGTCATGAAATTTGCTTATAAGTGGATGGACATAGAGAGTACCAAGATGAGTAAAGAGGAGAGGGACAGACATAGAATGACTGCACTCATTTGTGGGATATTTAATAAAACAGTAAAGGTAAAGGTAAAGGTAAAGGCCCTCCCGTTGATCGTCGATTTGCTCGAGCGGGCCCAGTAACGTCTCCATTGGAGACTGTGTTGTTACTGTGTCTGGCATATCGAATACTCTCGGTAGCTTGCCGGGCTCTCCGAGAGGGGCGGAGGAATCGAACTCGGGTTGGCCATGTTGGCCGCTTGTAAGGCGAACGCCCTACCGCTGTGCTATCGCTCCAGTATGAGACTAATATCCACAGACAGAAAAACCACAACACCCAAAAGGAGAGAGAGAGAACAAAAGGGAATGCCCTGCCACAGAGGCAGGGTGAGATGGGGGGGGGGGGGGAAGGATACTGGCACCCATGGTGGTAGAAAATGCGCACTGGTAGAGGAATGAGTACTTGATCATTGTATAACTGAAACCCAAGCACAAAAATTTGTAAGTCTACAACTGTACCCCATGGTGTTTCACTAATAAAAATTTAAAAAGAAAAATAGGGCAAATAAAAAAAAGAAAATATGGGGGGAAAAAACAGGGTCTAGAAGAACTGGTGCACAGTTGGAAGCTTGCCACAAGTGTGTGGGGAGCAGGGGACAGTTAGGATAGAGAAGGAGCCACTCTAACAATAATAGTTGGTAATGGTCACTCTAGACAAGAACTGAGCACTGAAAGTAGGTAAAAAGGATATACACGATAACCTTTCAGTACTTGTATTGCTAACCATAATGCCCAAAAAGAGAGGGAGAGAGGAGGTGGAGAGAGAGAGAGAGAGAGAGAGAGAGAGAGAGAGAGAGAGAGAGAGAGAGAGAAAGTGCCTGCCATAGAGGCAGGTTGTGGTGAAGGGTAGCAGAAGGGAAAGTGTGGACAACAGTGGGGGGAAAGTGCGCACTGGTGAAGGGACAAGGTTGGAACATTGAATGGATGAAGTGCGATCATGAACAACTTTGTTGCTGTGTATTTCCTTGTGATTCAATTAAGAAGAAAAAAGAAATACAGAATCTCATGGAATGATGGAAGGTAATAGATTATATACATGAAGAGGAAAACTAATCACTTTCCAAGTAGAGAATATATTCGACGAGGTCTCGAGTTTCTTAGTCCAGGCATCGCATCGATTCACTTGGTGATTAGGTTATTGGTGAAGATACACGAGGAAAAGTGGAAGGCAGGAGTAGTCTGAGCAGTAGATTCAGAGCTCGTGAGAAGGGCAAAGGAGGAAGATCAGAGACTCTGGCTAAGGAGTTGCAAATCTCCTGGTTCCCCTAAGTTAGACTGTCTTCCTTTTAGTGCAGAGATTTTACAATATCCATTTCACTTTTGTGTTATTTTATTTTTGAGTAACAAAAACTTTTAAGTATATGTCATGTATACATATATATAACTAAGCAAAAGGATATTTTTGTTAGTAATCAATATATAGGGTATTCCCAGAATTCCAAAGTTTCTATCACATCCTTTCCAACCAACACTCACCCCACAAAATAGTGACGATCCTGAACTGTCCGTTTGCCTGTCTGAAGTTTATAAGAATGTAATTATATGATTAAAAAATCAAAGTAAAAATTAAATGAAGAAAAAAAACCAGAAAACTCCATAGTTGTTCTCCAACTAAACAAACTATGATGGCATGGCTACACAAAACCATTTTTTTCCACAAGAATTTTTTTTTATACTGAAATTGCAGGTTAAAATTTAGTTTTTACCAAAATGTGTCAAGAATGAAAAAAGGTCAGGGTGTTGCTCCTTAGTCTCGCGTGTAATAAATTCCACTGGATCTCTAGAGCCTGCTGGTAGAATTCTTGTACATTTTCCCATTAGGCATCTTCGTGAGTGTTCCGTGGGGCAAGCAGCATTGCCCTGGCTTTGAGTTAAATGTGGTCTCTGTTGTTCCAGGAAAGGGCCCACGAAGCCGGAAGTCCTGTCAATTCAGTGGCCTGGAAAGCGTTCAAATCGCCGAGTTCAGAGACACAACAGCTTCTCTCCCAACAGCCCTCAGTTCACCGTCGGCGGGCCAGGTAATGCATCTTGGTCTTTTTTCTTGAAAATTGACTAAATTTGTGTTTCTACATTGATTCTTTATAGAGCTAAAGAAATGCAATAAAATGCTTTCTTTTATCAAATAAGTTTACCAAGACCAAAGTGGCAACACATTGAAGGTTTGAAAAACCAAGATAACAAACCTAGTTCTCACTTCTGTCCAAAGCCTGGCGGTTGTGTCCAGCCAGGACACAGCGATGGAAGATAGAACTGAAAATAGTTTCACCTCCTGATAAAGGAAAGACAGTGAAAACCTAGAGAAACCCATTTTATCTCCAAGCAAAAGGAGGACCCGTTTTAAATATTGTAGATATTTGTATGTACAAATTTATGTACAAAAGATTTTCAAGGTCACAAGGCATACATTAAATTAATTTAAATTAACAGTAGATTATTTTTATATGGGCTCTATTTTCTTCACAAATTAATTTTTCTCTTGTAAAGCACAATGATTCTAATTTTGGCAATAACTTCTTTGTGGAAGTACAATTGCTTATTTTGACATCAGAATTTATTTGGTGGGTTTTGAGAGATGTTTTGCCCAAGATCTCAAAGCCTGCTTGGATTGGGACTGGGGTCTCCTCCACCCAGATCCCCCATCTTCCAGTATGTAGGCGTTAAACCCACCAACTGCCCCTGGCGCCGTGTAATCCCATCAACGGCCACGACCCAGAGACTATAGAACCCTACTCCCAGAAGAGAACAGCACAGAGCCTCCTGCCTCCACGCCTGGTTGTCCTCATGGGGGCCCCTTGGAGGAGGATGGGTTGAGTTTCCCTCCCCACCCCGAGCAGAGTCTGAAGACCTCTGGTTCCAGCCACAGCCATTCTTAAGACCACTCTCCACACATTCGGACGAGCCTCACGCATAAAGGAACTGGCCGAGGAACCCAGGTGTGCAGGACCCGGGGCGTAGATCTCCAAGCCTGCTCGGATTGGGACTGGGGCCTCCTCCACCCAGATCCCCCATCTTCCAGTATGTAGGTGTTACACCCACCAACTGTCCCTGGCGCTGTGTAATCCCATCAACGGCCAAGACCCAGAGACTATAAAACCCAGCTTTTGCAAGCTTATTATCTAGTTCTTACTCTGGAGAACCTGGCAGGCTACCAAAAGTATCCTGCCCACACCGCAGAGTCTGGCAAACTCCCCGTGGTGTATTCAACATGCCAAAAACCAGTAACAATTATGGGTCTCATTCTCCTGACCCTGAAAGAGCCTCGAATGTGGCACTTTTTAAAATCTCGGGGTAGGACAAAGGAGACGTTAATGGGGCCTGCTTGAGGCAATTGATGAACAACAGGAAGACAGTGATACAGTGATTCGCCCAAAAAGACTGATAGAAAGGAAAACTCTAATAGGACAGACATTTTTGGTTTTTGGTTTTTGCTTTGCTAACATTCAAAGCTAAAATAAAGCCTTCATAGTCTTGAATTCAAGAATATACTCCTATCAAAGAAATTAAATAATACCATTTTTAGAAAATATTGTAAGCAAGTTATTTGGGGGATACACAAGGATTTCAGGCTGTTCGTGTAGGAACTCAGGTCACTATTCTTTCTCTTACACCTTTGCATCATATTTATAACAGCAGCAACAATCCAAACTGAATTTTTATGTTTAACCTGGTGCTATATAGAGATTATACATATATATCTATAGTGATAAAGATGCAATTAGGTATACAGGCACATACACATGTAAATATACGTGAATATTTTTGAGTTTATTTTACTGTGTTCTCATTTAATCTTCATAATGATTATGAGAATGGTAATTTTATTATCATTTGTAAAATAAGAAAGCCTGAAGTGTTAAGTAATTGAACAAAGCTCAGTAGCCCCAATCTGCCCTGTTAACTGGTGTGTCGCAATTACAGTGCTCATGAATATTCAGGCTACTTGTTACGAAGGTTGGCACTAGCTACACTGGTCCTTATACTCACAATTTTTATTAAATAAATTATTTGTTTGCAACAACTTCACATCCTTTCATGTGTACATATTAACTGTGCCCATACCAAAATTCCAAAGGTTTACATCATAAAAATGACCCCCCTTGACCCATTCTTCCACCCATCCTCCCCTTTTTTTCTCTAGTAATTGCCATGTCTTTTATAGTTTAGGAATGAGAGTGTGCATGTGTGTGTGTGTGTGTGTGTGTGTGTGTGTGTGTATTGAGTGTTTGCTTTGGTTATTTATGTCACAAATATGAAGGAAACTACTCAATTTATTTTCACTTCCTGTCTTATTTTGATTAGTATAATCACCTCAAGTTTCATCCATGTTGTTGCTAAAGCAGTTTCAACTATTTCAGTAGCATCAGTAACATTTCAGTGACTTAGGCATTTTTTACATGCCACAATTTATGTCTTGCTACCGTCAGGGTTATGCATTCTCTAGTCTTTGCCCTAGAAACTTAGAATTATTGATTTAGAATTATTGTTGGATGCTTTGCTTTATTCAGAGAAAAATTGGCTAACTTTTTTTGAGTTCCAAAAATAGCTCTGCAGGATCAGTTTTTTGAATATCAAAGGCTACATAGGCAGCAACATTTAAAAAAAAAAAGAAGAAGAAGAAGAAAGAAAAGACTCATGAAATAAATCCACTGGGATGCATGCATCTGTGGAAATCAATAACTTAAAAAGCATCCTGTGAATACTTTTAATGCATAGATTAGTGGCCAATATTGCATGTTTCCTTCAGGGGAAATGGGAAACACTGAGGTAACCAAAACATTCTGCTCTGTCTAGAATTTTACATGTTGCACTAATGATTTCCCCCCAAAGGCTTGCTAGAGGAAGATAACCAATGGATGACCCAGATAAACAGACTCCAGAAATTAATTGACAGGCTGGAAAAAAAGGTGAGTGCTTCTGTTTTTTCTCTCCTCGCCCCTTTCAGTGGATTCTGACCTCATTGCCCCTTTATATCCATGGCTGTGTCATGCATGGAATATCAGTCATAATCCCAATACTGAAGCTCACATTAACTCTCATCCCCAGCCCTGCTTAAATTTATATAGTATGTAAGACTGAACTGAGAGTTAAATAAGTCTGCATGGGCTCTCAGTGGCCTTGCCCTGTGTTGAATGGCGTAAATGGCAACTCTTTGTCATGCCTTGGTTGCAGTCTTAGAAATGTTTCAAAGTTATTCATGAAAACTAACACATCTTGAAAATATGAGATCACATGCAAGCTTCTAGGAATTAGTATATATATTAACTGATGGTTTGGGGCATTACAACTGCCTTTTGTAGCAAGCAAACTCCAATGTGGAAAGGAGTTCTATGGGGCTATATTTTATGTTTCAGATCACTGTATTTTTTCTTGACCGATTCCAGTAGCTCCAAGTTGTCCTGATGTTGTTGTGATATTTCCCTCAAACAATTTTGATGAAAGAGCAGCTTTGTCGGCCAATAAAAATATGTTTTCTGTGCATACCAGACATCAAGGAATATTATATTTAAAATAGAGTTGCTGATTATAAAGAATTGTTTAACCTTAAAAACATCCCTCCAGAAGAGAGTTATAATTTTTGTCATATTTGTGGCAACCTATAATTAGGTTTCTAGTTAATGCTCAGTGAATACTGCAGACTAGCTGGATCCCAGTCCGCAGGAATGAACACTGTGTGCAGTGTTTGGGAAGCATTTCATGTGGAAAGATGAGCTTAAGTCACTGTCACTGTCACTGTTCTCCCGTTGTTCATAGATTTGCTCAAGCAGGCACCAGTAACGTCTCACAACAAATTGCGAGACTTGTTGTTAATGTTTTGGGCATATTGAATACATCACAGGTAGCTTGCCAGGCTTTGCCGTAAGGTCTTAAAAATAATGGCAAGTGAGAATTTTAATTAACTGTAACTGTTGTCTTTTTTTGGGGGGGGGGGGTTGAGGGCCACACCTAACAGTGCTCAGGGATTACTGCTGGCTCTGTGTTCAGGGATAACTTCAGGCGGGGTTCAAAGTACCATATGGGCTGCCAGACATCGAACCCGGGTTGGCCATGTGGAAGGCAACTGCCCTCCCCATTGTACTATCTCGCCACCCTCAATATTTGTCTCTTTAATCAGAAAGACATTTTATTTCTCCTGGAAGGATATGAAAATTCTCCCAGAATCTGGAGTCCAGCCTGGAGCCCAAAGACTCAGAAACAGTCAGGAGACAAAAATCACTCTAGCCATCTCAAATAAGCAAGAAGCATGTGACTGTCTGAAGTTGTATGCCCTGGAGTAAATGAATTCCAATCTTTTCTAGTGAATTGATATTCTATCTAAAATTTCAGGAGGTAAAATCTAGTTCATCTTGTAATGATTCTGTCATGCTTTGGGGATAGAGAGAGGAGAATACCAGGATAACGAAGGACAGCCTTTATTGAGGGGTCACACCCAGTGATGCTCAGGGATTGTTCCTGGCTCTGCACTCAGGAATCTCTCTTGGTACTTGGGGGACCATATGGGATGCTGGGAATCAAACTCAGGTCAGCCGCGAGCAAGGCAAATACCCTACCCACATTGCTCTGGCCCCATGGCCTTAAAACATTGTATCAAAAAAAAAGAAGAAAATTCACTAAAGGTACTGAATTGAATTAAAGGTAAACCATCATGTTACCATTTCAATATAATATTAAATGCTGGTAAGCTAATAAATATTTGTATTAGAAAGTAAAATTTTATTAGATATAAAGCATGTGGCAATAGTCCCCAGGAAAGATGATGGCGTGATCAAAGGTTAAGTGGACCCGTGTGAGTAAAGTGTTTCATTTAGAGAAGTGGCAATGAATAAAATTGTGAAGGATGGCGTCGCATTATGGATGATCTTTAGGAGCAGACAAGGAATTTGGACTTGGTTCTGGAGATAGCTGAGGGCACTTATTAATTTTTCCCAACAGCCAACTGACATACCAAAGAGATTTGTTAGATTAAAATCCAAAAATGTTCATCAAGATGCAAAATCAGTTGGAACAAGAAAATTCAGTCAGAGCTCTCCGAGCCACCTCAAATAATGGCAATAAAGGGCAAATTTTAGAATTGAACATGTTAAGGGCGTTTGCCTTCCACACAGCGACCAGGGTTCAATCCCTGGCATCACATATGGTCCCGTGAGCTTGCAAGATGTGCAGGAGTAAACTCTGAGCATCACTAGTGTGGCGAAACAATGGAAAAAAAATAAAATTGAACCTGTTTCTTTTTCCACATCTGGAAGCAGATTTTCTCTCCTAAAACAAAAATTTTAGATAGAATATCAGCTCACTAGAAAAGGTTGAAACACATGTACTCCGGGGCATACAACTTCAGACAGTTCTTATTCATTTGAGATGGCTAGAATGATTTTGTGTAATAGTAATGAAAAGTAATCACGAATCATGAATCACGACCATCCTGTTATTCTGATATTCGTCGATTGCCTCGAGCAGGCCCCAGTAACGTCTCCTTCATCCTAGCCTTGAGATTATATTCAAGGCTCTTTAGGAGAATGAGACCCATCATTGTTACTGGTATTTGGCATATTGGGTACGCCACGGGGAGTTTGCCAGAGTCTGCCCTGTGGGCAGGCTACATTCGGTAACCTGCCAGTTTGTTCAAAGTAGGAATGAGATAATGGTAAAGGCCCTCCCGTTGATCGTCGATTTGCTCGAGCGGGCCCAGTAACGTCTCCATTGGAGACTTTGTTGTTACTGTGTCTGGCATATCGAATACTCTCGGTAGCTTGCCGGGCTCTCCGAGAGGGGCGGAGGAATTGAACTCGGGTCGGCCATGTTGGCCACGTGTAAGGCGAACGCCCTACCCTCTGTGCTATCGCTCCAGCCCAGGAATGAGATAATAAGATGTCATAATAAGATGTCCGGGAGCTGGATTTTATAGTCTCTGAGTCTTGGCTGTTGATGGGATTACACGGCGCCAGGGGGCCAGTTGGTGGGTGTGACCCCCGCCTACTGGAATTTGGAGGGTCTGGGTGGAGGATGCTCGGCCCCAATCTGAGTAGGCTTGGAGATCTCGGCCCCGGAACCCGCGTGGCTTTGTCCCTCTGCCAGTACCTTCATGTGTGCGGAGAGTGGTCTCAGCATGGTGGTGGCTGGTCCTGGAGGTCTTCGGCTGCCGGAGCCCTGGTCGGGGTGGGGAGGAAAGTTCAACCCGCTCCCCTCCAAGGGGCCCCCGTGAGGGCAGCCAGGCGCGGGCACAGGAGACTGCCATGAAAAGTAATAATTTTAGTTAAATTTAATGACTTTAATTAAAAAAATAATAAATAAAATAGCATCACCAGGGAAGTGAAGCTTCAAGTCCTGTGATAGATCTCTGCAAAGGGGCCTCTACAGTGAGCCAGGCTCAGGGAAACACCTAGGAGAATCCTGTCCCTTTGCATCACTGTTCCCTTTGCTTAAATTGGACCTCTTTGAAGACAAATAACTTTAAGTAAGAGCTAGCTCTAATCAGAGATCCCAAACCTATTTGGCCTACCCCTCCCCTCATTTTCAGAAAGCAACTCTGCACCCACTGGAAATGGACCTTCTTTAAATAGAACAAACAGGAAACACCCCCACAATCCCAGTCTAGGAGGCCACTACCATTGCCCTGAATCTTTCTAATCAATCTACAACTCCCTCCAGTTCCCTCAAACCCCAGGAAAGAGGGGATAGCATCACCCACTTTGAAAAGTACAATTTTCAATCAATTTTTCTTCTTCCTCATCTCATTAATTGATATGAAAACTGAATCCAAAAAATAAAAACATAAGAAAAAATAATGGCTTCAAACTTTATTAACCTGCCCGATATAGGGATCTTAAGACAAGACTCTTACTAATTTACATACAAGTGCTACTACATGGAAAGTATCATGCTAAGTGAAATGAGTCAGAAAGAGGGGGACAGATACAGAAAGATTGCATTTATCTGTGGAATATGAAATAAGAAAATAGGAGACTAACACCCAAGAATAGTCCAGATAAGTACCAGGAGTTTCGCTCCATGGCTTGGAGGCCAGCCGCACATGCTGGGGGAAAAGGAAGTTCAGATAGAGAAGGGAGCACCAAATAAAGGGTGTTGGGAGGATCCTCCCAGGATGGGAGATGCATGCTGAAAGTAGACTATAGACCCAACATGACTGCCACTCAATTTCTCTTTTTCAAATCACAGCACCCAATAGGAGAGAGAGAACAAAAGGGAATGCCCTGCCACAGAGGCAGGGTGGGATGGGGGGATGGGGGAGTGGGAGGGATACTGGGATCATTGGTGGTGGAGAATGGGCACTGGCGGAGGGATGGGTATTCGATCATTGTATAATTTAAACCCAAGCACAAATATTTGTTAAGTCTACAACTGTGCCTCATGGTGTTTCACTAATAAAAATTTAAAAAATAACAATAATAAAAATAAAAATAAAACAAGACTCTTACTTAGAAGGCTTGTTGCTACTTTAACATTTCACTGCTGTGTGATATTTCAGTATTTTCTTACTAAGTTTGAAAGAGCACACGTATCTATTTTTAAAGAGTTTTGAAGTTGTGTCTTGATGGTTCTTTTTAAAGGAATCCAACTTGGCTCACACCCTTTTCCCACCCCAACTCTTAAATCAAGGTAACGATGTCTCTTTTGTTCTAGGTCTTTTTTTTCTCCATCCCCTTCTTCCAGTGAAAAGGGTTTTATTTTTAGGACAATGTCTAAGAGACTTGCTGAAAGGACAATGTGAGGCTGTACCTTGGGCAGGCCTGCTGTGTGGAACTCAGTGTGATCGGTGTTAATGAATAGGAAAGTAGTGCAAGATCAGTTTGCTTCAACAATGGCTTCTGTACTGTGCTGAATTAAGTTTTTAGATTAAAGAAACTACTCCGTCACCGCCCAGAAGCTAAGCATGTGTCATTTCACTGCTGGCTGTCTCGTCACCTGTAGTTGGTAGCACATGGCTTGAGCTCCCTTTTGAAGAGGTGTACCCATGGTAGAACACGAGCTGTCTTTTCTCTCCATTGAGTTTTTTGTTTTGTTTTGTTTTTGCTTTTTTGGGGGTCACACCCGGCAATGCACAGGGGTTACTCCTGGCTCATGCTCAGGAATTACTCCTGGTGGAACTTGGGGGACCATATGGGATGCTGGGAATTGAATCCGGGTCAGCTGCGTTCAAGGCAAATGCCCTACCTGCTGTGCTGTTGCTCCAGCCCCTCCATTGAGTTTTTATACTTAATCTCCCCTGTGTTGTCAAACCAAACTCAGTACTACTCAAGTGGGATTGGAGAAAATAAAACTTGAAATCTCTACAAGTTTCTCCAGGTATTCCTTCTTTCCATCTGAGCTTCTGTAATAATCTATTGAGACATATTGGATTTATATCTCCCAATTTGCTTAAATTCTGCAGAAAACATGTCTTTTGTTTGAGGGCCACATCTGGCGGTGCTCAGGGTTTACTCTTGGGTGTGTACTTAGGGGTTATCCTAGGAAGGACTTGAGGGACCAGATGGGGTGCTGGGGATTGAACCTGGGTCAGCTGCATACAAGGCAAACAATATGCCTTCTATATTATCGCTTCAGCCTCGGCAAAAAAATATGTAATGGTAAATAACACTAGAATAACTGTTTTATTCTTTTCTTTTTAGAGTTTAGGTAATAAAGTAATACAAAACTGAACTCAACCAAACTGACTACTTTTAACTTACTCAATGGTAAAAACTAATCTTTATTCGAACAGCCTAATTTTAAGTCAGAATTATTTTATCTTCTTTCACATAATGAGTTGCTTTTAATATATACCATAAAATAGATATCATTTTAGCATATAGTGTTTCTTTTCATCTTTTATTCTGTCTTGTCCCCTCTTTTTTTTCACAACCGAAGGATCTCAAACTTGAACCGCTAGAAGAAGAAGTTATTGATGGAAATACCAAATCAGTAAGTAGTTTTTGAGGTTACTTTTAGAAATGTGTACTACAAAATGTTTATTTTCTTCAACATTATTGTCTCAGTGGAAATTGGAAAAAGTAATACTTCACATACTTTACCTTGTCTTTTCTAAATCGTGATTTGCAGAAAACCAATGTCTACTCAGGAATTTTATAAAAGCAAATGGTATGTAATCCATGCACAATAAACATTTTGTACACATGTAAACTAATGATTTATTGCCTTATTTATTTTATGGATGCCAGGGAAAAAATATCAAATTGTATTATAAACACATTTCATAAACCTTGCTATGCTGAGCCAGGCTGAGGCAAGATGTGCTGTATTTTGTGACTGGGTTGCCATGTTGCCAGCATAGAGCCCCGTGTTGAGTGCATGGTAAAAACCCAGATAGAGTTTCCAAAGAAAATTCCTCTTTACAGACATGAAACATTATATGTCTTACTGAAAAGAAATCGCCAGATTGGTGGCAATTTATGGAGACTTTAAAAAAAAAAAGATCCTAACAGAGATGACAAGGAGAAATTAGTGAGTAAATCAACTAATTGAAAAGGAACACATGTCACACATTAGTGAGCTTATTTTGAGGATTTATAGCACAATCTCTTGTGGGAAATTATATGTTTGCATTTACATTCGATGGAAATTTGGATTTTAAAATATGGAATACCTGTAGACAATCATTTTTCTTCTTAAATGCATTTTCTACTGTATAGATCTTAAAGGGGTAATGATAGTCACATGAAACAAACAAAAATACCTTTCTCTGCACTGTGCATTTCTTCCGAGATATTGCCTACATGATACTTCTATTCTAAACGCTATTGTGAGTCTCTGTCAGACACTGGCCTGTGTGTCCTGTCTGAACTCTGAACAAACATAAAGAATCACCAGAGAGGAAACGAAGGGAGTTCTCAGAAAAGCTTAAAAATGATTTGATAATTAAAATCTTAGAGATGCAAACACTTTACCTGATAAAAGCTGTATTTGCACTGCATGATCAGTGTTTGAATTCACCTTACCCCAAACATGAACATGATCTGAATTTACATCAGCTTCTAGAAACTTTAAGTGGTGAGTTTCGGTGTGAAATAGAGTCAAAGCAGGGTGTCCAGGAAACCTACTAGGATTAGTAGCACTGGGATGTCCCTTAAGGCACAAGACAGTGTCCTTATGATCTTGCATGAGTATCATCTCTTAGATTTGCATTTAAGGGTAACTACCCTCCAACTGAGAAAAAAGTAAGTTATGATTTGTTTATTCTTAAATAATTCCCTAGCGGAAGATGGTTCTCTCTTACTAGCAATGAGGGAAAATTAGGGTCAGGATTGTACAATGTTTTATTCTCTTCTTCATGACAGTGGGAGGTGGAGAGAGAGAGAGAGAGACAGAGAGACAGAGAGAGAGACAGAGAGAGAGAGAGAGGGAGAGAGAGAGAGAAAGTGTCAGCTTTAAAAAAAATCTATCAGACCACACAGCATTATTATTCAGTTGTGCATAGAACTATTTAAAATAAATAAATAAATAAAAAGAGCTGCAAGGTGATTCACTAGTCAGTATTATTTTAAAAGGTAAATGTAAAGGCCCTCCCGTTGATCGTCAATTTGCTCGAGCGGGCCCAGTAACGTCTCCATTGGAGACTTTGTTGTTACTGTGTCTGGCATATCGAATACTCTCGGTAGCTTGCCAGGCTCTCTGAGAGGGGCGGAGGAATCGAACTCGGGTCGGCCATGTTGGCCGCGTGTAAGGCGAATGCCCTACCTGCTGTGCGGAGCAATAGCACAGCAGGTAGGGTGTTTGCCTTGTGCGCAGCCAGCCCAGCTGAGCTGGGTTCGATTCCTCCGCCCCTCTTGGAGAGCCCGGCAAGCTACCGAGAGTATTTCACCTGCACAGCAAAGCCTGGCAAGGTACCCGTGATGTATTCAATATGCCAAACACAGTAACAACAAGTCTCAATACGGAGACGTTACTGGGCCCGCTTGAGCAAATCTATGAACAGTATTATTTTAAAACAGGAAAAAAAAATTCTTTAATTCGCAATCATATGTAAAATCTTTGGAAATACATATACACTAACGCTTTTAATTTGTGGGGTTTTTTTTACCCCAAGTAATGCCAGGAAACATTTGACATGAAAACTTAAATTATGGGGGTCAGGGAGATAGGGCACTTGCCTTGCATGGGTCAACTTGGTTTTGGGTCCCAGCACTACCTATGGTCCCCCAAGTACCACCAGAAATAATCCTAGAGCAGGCAGAAGCTCTGAGCACTGCCGGATATGATCCAAACAAGCTCTGTCACTGTCACCGTCTTCCTGTTGCTCATCAATTTGCTCGAGCGGGCCCAGTAATGTCTCCATTGTGAGACTTGTTGTTACTGTGTTTGGCATATTGAGTACATAGTGGGTAGCTTGCCAGGCTTTGCCATGCGGGCAAGATACTCTCAGTAGCTTGCCAGGCTCTCTGAGAGGGGTGGAGGAATTGAACCCGGGTTGGTCAGGTTGGTGGTGTACAAGGCAAACACCCTACCGCTGTGCTATCACTCTAGCTGGGGCCAAACAAACCACCCTTAAAAAAGTTTTTTCCTTAGTATTAAATCATGAGTATAAAACCTCCCATATTCAGAATGACAAAATAGTTACTATTAATTCACTTCAAACTTCCATAATTGTATCCTACTGTATGCTCAGTGAATTAATCAGGTTACCAAATCTGCTTTTAGAATGTATTGACTAAAATATATATTTTCTTTTTTTTATAGTGAGTGAATGAAAAATATGTCTCAGATCAGAAGGCAGAGAGTAAATTTTCATTTTCTAGCTTGTCTTTTAAAGCTAATCTTCACTGACTGTGAAGATTATGTGCCAAGTGTCCCAAACACACGTATATAAATCTCTTAATCCTCCCAATATCTGTGCAAAGTGGTTCTTTTGCTAAGCCCATGTGACAGATTAAAAAATTAAAATGTAGAACGGCTTAAATATCACAGCAACCCTGCCACTTCCACGGCAGAACTGAGCTTGTCATCACTCTATGTCTTTCAAATCTGGTGTGTTGTGCATTTCTAGGTACTAAAGTAGAGCTGCTCTTTGCTAGAGGGGTTGTGAGCTAACAGATGTCTCAATTTCTTGAGATTTTCTACATTACAGCAGAGCAGATGATCTGTTTAGCTTATTTAAGCACAGCTCAAGTCCTGGACCGAGCAGGAGCCATATCTCGTTTTCTTGGATTTGAGCCATTAAATAATGATAAATCTAGCATGAGATTACTTTTGGTCCTTTAAAAAAATTAGGCTGAAATAAGAGAAATGACATGTATTGACTATCACCCCTAATAATCGTTACATAGATAATTCCATCTAATCATTCCCCAAATGCTCTGATATGACAACTATTATTCTAAGTTTGCATATCAAAAGACTGTGATGAGAATGATTAAGTAACCTGTTTAACATTAAATAATCAGTTTTAAAATAAAAAGGAGTCTAATTTTTTTAAATTTATGACCTTGTTCAGAAAGGAAAGACAAGAAAGAATCAGACCTTGGAGATAGCTAAGAGAGTTCCTTCTAATTCTGCAGGGTGCTACAGTTTCTGGAATCACCCCAGTCTCTTGGAATTAATATTGTGTAAATAAAATTTATTAAACAGAATTTTAAAAAAACTGTCAATGACTAAAATACACAGCATTTTTTTCATTTTATTTGGTTTTTGGAACACACCCAACTGTGCTCTAGACACATGTCTCCACGCTTAGGGAATTAAAACCAAAGATAATTTTTCACCTGTTTATTCTATAAATATACCTTGATCACCAGTGAAATGCAGACCCTGGCAAGTGGATGCAGTGGACATAGAGATGTAATGGTGAATATTACAGGTTAGATGGTAATCCAAAAGAGAATTCTAGGCAAAGCATATCAAAATATTCTTAAAGATTTACATCAAGCTAATCATAAAGACAGCATCCCTAGGAATTCAGTTTTATTCTTGGCATAATAAAATGACACATTTTATGATCTGTTGAAAATTGATTCATATCCACAACTTAGAACTTGACAGCCACACTAAAATGTCAGTATGATTTTTAAGGGCAGTTTTCCCAACCTGAGAACTCATCCTGCATCTCCCAGTGAACTGATTCACTCAAATCCTTTCTCCCTGGTGCCTCATCGCCCCTGTGGTACTTCTCAAACAACTCAAGAAAAGATTATTATATTCAAAATACTTCCCATATACTAAAGGATTTTGATAATATTTTAAATAAGTTTTGATCATATTCTCATATTTTTTCAAAAACACTAACTTCTCTTGAGTCATTACCATTTTATATGCTGAAATAGTTTATTACATCAATTAATACAAGTAGCGTTCTGCCTTTCTAAACTCTTCAAATGATTATTTGTAGAGAACTTAATTATTCCGTACACTTTTACACTTTTAAGGACCTATTGCCAGCAAATACATCAAAGATATAAAAATGTAAACTTACTTTGCAATAGCAATTAAGTAACTAAAAGCATAAAGTAGGCTATGATATTTCTGAAGACGTGTTAGTAATAGTTACAAATGAAGTAAACATAGTCAATAAGCATTAAACAAGTTAGTTATATTTAACATTTTTCTGATAAGAGACATAACAGGAAAAAAAGTAAAACAAAAAAATGATTCTGATAAAAGACATTTAACTCAAAGGAAGAAACTGTCCAAATAGAGGGAGTTAATCTAACACTCTCCCTTATATCTTTATTAAAAACTGAGTTAAAAACAGAATGCTGACTGAGTTCCAACCATTCCCATCATTGAATCTAAGGGGGCTTTTAGGTGAAGGACCCCATAGTACAATTACAGGCCATGGAAGGGTTCGATGTGCAGGACAGGAGAATGTTGAGTATCTCTGTGTGGAACCCAACAGTCTAGGATAATTGTCCAGCCTCAGGCGTCCAAGGTACTGGAAAAAACACAGTGGGGGTATTCTAAGGACCCAGGTTTTCCAGCGAAGGCCCTCTATCTCCACATTCACTAAATCGGGACGCAAGTGAGTGAGAACTAGACACTTGAGTCAGAGCTAATGGCAGGCGTTTTCTCTGTTGTCACTTGTGGTCTGCTGATGGCCACCATTTGTGAGGGTAGTCCACCCATCTCAGGCCCAATTTCAGAGCAAGTCCATGACTGAAGGACCCTTGCTCAGTCATGCTCACATACTAAGCCTTGCTCAGCCTGTCCGGGGCTACTAGTAAGAAGGCGACACCTTCCAAGACCTATTCAGCAAGCAGGAGGCTCAAGTGTACTGTGCAGACATTCATCTCCCAAGTTTGCCTTATAGGTAACTTATCCACACACAGACCTGTGCCAACACAGACTCTCACAACAAAGAGCCTCCAACTGCCACTCACACACACCTTTCACATTCAAGAGCTAAGGCACCCAGGGATAATTGTGATCTGAAGACCAGTCCCTGGGACTGGAGGGATAGCACAGCAGGGAGGGTGTTTGCCTTGCATGTGGCTGACCCAGGTTCGATCCCCAGCATCCATATGGTCCCCCAGCACTGCCAGGAGTAATTCCTAAGTGAAGAGCCAGGAGTAACCCCTAAGCATAGCTGGATGTGACCCAAAAAGAAAAAAGAGAGACCAGTTCCTGATGTATACATGACCATAATTCCTAGTCATTGCTCAGGTCAAAAGACTGGATTCCTATCTTCTGCCAGGTATGGGCAACTCTGGGTCAGGCCCAGAGCTGTTACATCTCAATATTGCAGCAATTCCAAGAATTGTCGTAGGCACTGACTTGGTTTTGCAAGTGTGGGTCTCTGATTGTCATTTAGGTCAGTGTATACTTGGCTTTTTACCCCTGAGTCATGTAGAGTAATGAAGACACAGAGGAATCACCTCATCAGTGGATGAGAACAGCAAGATACGTGACATTTGAAACAGCAGTAAATACAGAACAAACAAAATAAAGAAACCAAGAGCTCCTAAAGGCAGCAAAGGAAAAGCGAAACCAAGCAAGAAAAGGAACCCCAGAGATTCCCAAGGCATTTCTCAAGTGAAACTGTACATGCCAGAAAGGAATCATTAGCTATCCAAAACACAGATACAAAGTGAAAGTGGAGGAGCTGGAGCGATAGCATAGCAGGTAGAGCGTTTGCCTTGCACGCAGCCGACCCGGGTTTGATTCCCAGCATCCCATATGGTTCCCTGAGCACAGCCAGGAGTAATTCCTGAGTACAGAGCCAGGAGTAACAGAGTAGCCCCTGTGCATCGCCGGGTGTGACCCAGAGAAAAGAAAAAAAAAAGTAAAAGTGGAGAAACTGAAGGAATTCCAAAAATAAGACAATATAAAAGCACAAAAATCTTAAATGGAAAAATAACAATAAATGCCCTAATGTCAGTGATCTCACTGAATATCAGTGGAATGAACTCCCCAAACAGAAGAACAGAGTGGCTGAAAGGGTCAGGAAACAATGCGACCTTCTGTTGCTTATAAACTTGAATTCACAGAACTGGAGCTATAGCACAGCGGTAGGGCGTTTGCCTTGCACGCAGCCAACATGGCTGATCCGAGTTTGATTCCTCCGCCCCTCTCAGAGAGCCTGGCAAGCTACCGAGAGTATCTTGCCCGCACGGCAGAGCCTGGCAAGCTACCCGTGATGTATTTGATATACCAAACACAGTAACAGCAAGTCTCATGATGGAGACATTACTGGGCCCGCTCGAGCAAATCGATGATCAACGGGAGGGTCTTTACTTACTTTACTTAATCTTGGAATAAACAGGTCACCTTAAAAAACAGGGATAGTGCGAATGGCAGGGACTATATGGGTGGCCAAGTCTAAACTATTTACTATCAAACACTTTGCTGACCCTGCTCTAATAGGGTTTGTTTGCATGACAGTCTTGGAGAGCCAAGAGAAAACGAAGAAACCCCTAAGGCCTCTGCAGTCCTAAGCTTCCCAGGGGCTGATTCAAACACTTGCCCCTGTCCATCAAAGCAAGTTAGAAGGCCAGCTCAGATTCAGAGAGACAAACACAGAAATCATATCTTGGTGGAAAGGACTGAAAATGTATCTCCAAAGGCTGAGCTCAGAGAAATGAAGCAGTGAAGGATTTCGGTCATTTTGCAATCAACCCCACTCGTTCTTGTTGCCTTCAGCCTGAGAGCATTGTGGTGGTGGTGCCTATGTTTATCTCCCTTGGAAGGGCCATGAGAATCAAATCATCGAAGGCATTGTTGCAATCACTTTATTACAATTACAGCCGAGAAATCCCTGTAGATTTCTTTCGAAAGGACATGTCCGGAATAATTTTGGCAGTGATTAGCATATTTAGTTGTTGATATTAACACTGGCTCCTGAGAGAGTCATATAGGAAACTCATTATAGAGCCTTACAAGAGAGAGTTACTGACTTCTGTCGACTGATACTTGATCCTGAAAGAAAATAAAAAGACCTCGGTTGACATTACTGATCCCATTAAAGTGATTAGGCTATAGAAACAAATAATCCTAAAACACAAAAGGTTTTTATACAATGGAAGTTTATATACAGTGATTTGGCGACACTGACAAAGAAATCAAAAGGTCAAAACTAAAATAACAAAACAGGTAAGTCATGGTATGTCATGTATGACATATGACTAGTCAATGACACTGTGTTGCATACATGAAAGTTGCCAAGAGAATCAATTTTTAAAAATTTAATTACCATGAAAAGTGGTTTATATAAAGTGAATTTAGAATTGCAATATTTGCATTATGCAGATATTAAATTGTTATATTGTGAGTCTGATTTTACTAACAGTTGACATGGCTGAATTTGGCGTAGTTATGTCAATCATGTCTGTTTTTAAAATACTGTTTTAAACTAAAAGTGGTATTGAGACAGGAGGAGAAAACTCATTCTGAAAAGTCATAAAATGGGAAAAACAGAATTCCATTTTTCATTGAAGTAAAGGATTCAGTATGAGGGGGGGTGCTTATTTGCCATGTAAGGAATTTTTGTAATTAACACTGGACTTCCATTGTGGAAGGAAATTTACTGTCTGCTATACTTTGGAGAATTTCTTCTTGGTCCATTTTTTTCTGTGAACACAACAGCAACAGTTCATTGGAGAGTTTTCATCAATATTCATAGTCTGCTTCCTGTCAACTAGTATTTTTGTTTGTCTCATCTTTTTAAATTTAACTTTTACTTAGACACTATGATTTGCAAGGTTGCTTGTAAATAGGAGCTTGAAGCATACAGTGTCATGACCCCATCCCTCCCAGTTAAGGCTAAAACAGTCTCATTTTGTTTTTGGCTGGGGGCTGCACCCTGTGTGTTCAGGGGGATGTTGCTCAGGGCGGTCAGTCCCCTCAGTGTTCAGGGGGAACATGCCTCATGGTGCATGGGATCAACACCTCGGCACTGGCCTGCAAAGCATCAGCTGCAGCCCTTTAAGCTGTTTTGCCAACCTGGTCCTGTTTTTAGCTGTTTTTAGTTACTTTGGGGGGAGAGGTGGGACGAGCGGTAGCTTGGCGTGAACGAAGCAGCAGACAACACAGTAACCTGCGCCCTGTCCTGACAGCACATCATGCTCGTGCAGCGTCAGATGTCCGTGATAGAAGAGGACTTGGAAGAATTCCAGCTTGCTCTCAAACACTACGTGGAGAGCGCGTCCTCGCAGCGGGGCTGCCTTCGGTAAGTGCACGCGGAGGAGGCATCTGCGCCGGGTGTTGCAACCTCCAGGGGATGCATTTGGTGGCGTTTAACCGAGACTTTTCCTTTAGTCCTTGTTCTCTGTGTATACGTGATCATTTGGGACTCGGGGGAGAAATCAAATGAAGAGAACCATTTGAACGAGAGTGGGGTTTCAAACAGACAGAACTCCACCCTTTGCATCCAGGCAAAAATCTACATTCTAATTTCCTGATGTCTCTGGTCGCCAAGGTCCCAATTCCGGTGCATTTTGCTCTGATTATTCCCTTGGCCGTCGCTGCTCTTGCCTTAATAATTGCTCCAGTCGCTCAGAAATTGCACCAACGCTGAAGTCCTTTTGCAGACCTTTGTTATTAAACTGTCCGTGGCCATCCCAGTTCAGCCTTGACTAGTAGCACGGGCTCCTAAGATAGGCGAATTATTTCTCCTCTTCCTTTTCCGCACCCCGAATGGCCAAATACTGGCACAATTACTTCCCAGAAACAATTACTGCAAAACTGATCATAGAATCCCTTTAAAACTTTCATAATTTTCTGAGTATCTTATTAAATTCATTTATCCTGAATTTCTACCAACTGATCCCAAGATCCCAGCCTAGCACCATTTCCCTATCTCTTCAGAGTGAGGTGCAGTTCCAGCTGCCAGTGCTTTCCCTGATTGTTGCATTTCCCTCTCTCATCAGTGAAGTGCAGTTCCAGCTGCCCAGCACCTTCCCTGCTTGTTGCATTAACCCTCTCTCATCAGAGTGAGGTGCAGGGTCCAAATGCCCAGAACCTTCCCTGCTCATCGACAGGCTCTGCAACTACCCTGGGACTCTCCTCCCCAGGAAGTGGGTCTGGCTGCAGATTTCCGCTACCCTAGGCTCTGCCTCACCCCAAACTCACCTGCTCTGCACAACTGCCCCAGCCAAGTTTGCCCCTCCTGAGTTTCTTTACACTTCCTCTGTGTTCTTTAAATCTTACGTTGGGGGAAGTGTTTTAGCCATGCGTGCTTGCACATAACCTCCTTTATAGGGGTGTGCTTCAGTGTTTTGAGAAATTTCTACTCTGCTCCTATGGCTGCAGATGAAGCATTTTTATAATTTTATGACTTTTAGTGTGTGATTTATTGACAGAACTGACTCGGTGCTGTTTATGTTCAACAACTGAGCATCTCCTTTATAAAGGAACACGGGAAATGCTGTTTTCCTTGTTTTTTTATCCTGCTTGATAGCAGGCTTAGGAGGACACAAATCAAAACCACATTTCAATCTTTTTACTTTAAGGACTTATGAGTGACTTTGTTGTGGTGAGAGCTTATGTAGTTTTCAAAATCCTTCTTATAGGTCCAGAGAGCTAGTACGAAGGTAGGACACTTGCCTCGTATCCAGTGACCAGGGTTCAATACCCGGTACCCCATATGGTCACCCGGGCCCTCCAGGAGTGACCCCTTAGTGCAGAACCATGAGTAAGACCTGAGCACCACCAGGTGTGGTCCAAAAACAGAAACAGACAAACAAAAAAATCCTGCTTATTTTTTAAAGTAAAACTGAGCATCTGGAAAAAGCAAAGATGTTGTATTTTCCAAGTGAAATATATTTTATTTTTAAATAGATTTTAAAATATATATTTAGTGCAGTATACAAATATACCTTCATGAACGCTTACTGGTGGTAAAGTGATATCCACAGGGGAAACGGCAGAAAGCAGAGCTCAGTTTTGGCTAGTGAGAACGCGAGATCTGGCTTGGTATTTCGCAACTTTGAGGAATCCTTTCTTAAGGATTCTTCACTCACTTCCAATGCTAACTTTTCCAGTGTTAACTGGAGTATTCAAACGGAATCTGCATCAGAAAAATCACCGCCATGATAGAATACGTGGCATACACATGCCAATGTGGCTGTCTAAATGTGACTCTCTCAGTTCCTCATATATTTTATATTTTCACATTTTTAAAGATTTTGAAGTACCGCTCTAGTGTATGCTAGGAAAATGATCTGAAGATACTGAATCAGCCTCAGGGTAAGGGGTAATAGGCCACAGGAGAGTAAGAGAGTAGATTTGTGATGCTCGCTGCACTGTTCTCTTAATAACCGTGAAAAACTATTCCCTTGGCTCCAGAGGGAAGCAGACTAAAGGAGTGTGTCTTTTTCATGTGAGAACAATTAAAGACCTCACCCTCTCCTTTTGTTTTGTAAGACTTGTTTCTTAAGGATTCTTTACTCACTTTGGATGGCTAACTTTTCCAGTGTTACTGGAATATTCAAAGGGAGATTTTTTTTTTTTTTCAGAAAATCACCATGATAGAATATGTGGAAAATACACATTATGCCTCTGTGGGTGTCTCAGTTCCTCAAATCCAATTTCCTATCAGTGAACGGTTGATCCAGTGGCCCTCATAAACCAGGATTTATACCCCAGTGCAGTCACAGTGACTGCCTCATGCTGGGCTAAGAGCTCCGAGTTCTCAGCATGGTCGTTTTTATTTTCCCTGTCGTGCTTGGTTCTGCTTCCCAATGATTATACAGAAAATGCTGTTGTCAATTAAAATAGAACTTAAGAATTTACTTAACTGATCATTTTGTAACAACTGTCTTTTTGGATCTTTACTGCAAATAATCTGAGGTATAATACTACATGTCACTTAAAATGGACTCAATGCATTAAACAACTTGCCCAAATTTATCTGACTCCAAAAACTCATGCTCAGTTTTTTTTTACCATTGTTTTGTCATTCTTGAATTTGTTCATTAGACTTTCTCTGGTTCAATAAACCAGGATATGTAAGGTTTCTCCTTTTCAGATGACAGATAAAGCTTACTTGCTAGAATCCAGACCAGTGAGCTAGAGAGATTATGTTCTCTCTGTATTTAACCAGGTGACATGGAGATCTGGGGACTATGGATACTTTTAAAATCCGTTTTTAAAATCAGTTGTTGTTGGAAAACCCAAGATGATGATTATGTGACACATATATAATATGAACCCCCCTCTCTGTAGAGTTTAATGCTCTTTTCACTTATTTGGTAGTAATGAAGGCTCATTATCCTATGTTTGACATTGACAGGTATCCAACGCAGTGTCCTATGTGTTGGAATTACAATTAACTCCAAAGAAATAAGACTTTCTGCTTTTAGAGACCCCAGGATTCATTTGGGAAAATAGGAGACTACAAGAAAGATAGAGCATAGAACAAGTCGATCTTGTCCTAAAGTCTTATAGCTATTATGTAGAATGGAATTTCTGAAAACACCGTCTTCAATTTCTAGAAATTATGTGTGTTCTGAACGCCATGTCAAAGGCCCAAGGAACATAGAGACTAATAAGAAATCAACCCTGAGACCGTGACTTTAATAGTCCTGTGGGGCATACTGAACTACACAGCACTTATCAGCATTTATATCAATAAAATGTGGTCAAAACTCAGTGTGGAGAATTGGGGGAGGGAGGTGCACTCCTCTTTCTGTGCATTGTCTGGCAGCTGGACTCTGGGAGGTAAGAGAAAACAGAGAGAAGGGAGGGACCATTCTGAGAGAAGCCTTAAGGAATGACCTCTAACCCCAATTGTTCCTGCATCATCGTTTTCCACCAGAAACCACTGATGTTCCCCAGCAGTTGACAATATTTGGGGTCTGGGATGAAGCCCCTTCTGCCTGCCTGCAGGTGTGGGGAGTTCAGCTTTGTTTTAACCAGGGCCTAAGAGCCACAGGATGTACTAAAGCCAACAGTTCACTAGGGTGTCTCATTCTCCTAAATTTTCAAATAACTAAAATCCCAAAGTCCTTGGTAACAACTGATTTTCTCTGTAAATTCTTCCATGTTTCAGCCATTATTGCCTGAGTGATAGGAATCTCTTCAAGTGCTTTTGCCTTGTGTGTGTGGGTGTGTGTATGTGTGTGTGTGTGTGTGTGTGTGTGTGTGTGTGTGCGTGCGTGCATGGAGTGGCTGTATAGGCACGTGCTTGTTTGTGTTTTTGGTGTGTTTGTGTGTTTCTGGTGTGTTTGTGTGTTTCTGGTGTATGTGTGTGTTTTTGGTGTGTGTATGTGTGTTTGGTATGTGTGTGTTTGGAGTGTGTGTGTGTGTGTGTGTGTGTGTGTTTCACCCTTGCCCAGAAGCATCTAGTCTGTGGAACAATTTTGGTTGGCATCTTCATTTATTTTTCCTTTGGACTTGTGGAATTTTTAGAGGTGTCTTTGTATTTATCACCCATTCTAAATTAAGGTTTTGTCCCTTCCTCTTTTTATTTTGATTTGGCTCTTCAGTGTTTTTCCTAAACTCTCTCTACAAGTGTTTTTTATTCCCTGCTTTCTTCAGCTATGCCAACTGGTTCTTGGCCAGATGGTTTATAGACAGGAAGAAAACGGGGAAGAAATAATACCACCCTCTTGTGTAAAGACGCAAAGACTTCCCAGAAACTCTTGCTTCCTGACCCATTTCCTCAGCATCTCCTTGATCCCGCTTAGGTCACAGTCATTCCTGACTCCAGGGGAGTTTAGGAAACAAATTCAAAGCAGAAATAAGTGGTATTGTCATGATATCTCAGACCAGTGACCCCTGAGCACAGAGCCAGGAGTAAGCGCTAAACACTCCGTGTATAGCTCAAAAATGTAGAAAAACAAATGCATCCCTGAAAGTAAGTCAGTTTTAAACTTCTCTGTTACGCTGCGGCCAGAGCAAAAGTACAGCAGGTGAGGCACTTGCCTTGTACACATCCGACCTGCTTCAATACTGACACCTCATATGGTCCCTACAAGCCTGCAGAGCCAGGATTAAGTCCCCAGCAGACGCCAGGTGTGGCTCAAACAACAAAAGCTTCTCAATTTCATTGTTGTGTTTGGAAGCCCTTTGAGACTATGATGGAACACACACATTAATTTACAGTTTATTTCAGAGATTTCAATCAATTTTCCCCCAAAACCCATCTCTAATCCTCCTACTAGGATCAAAAAATGGAGTTCACATTCTATTTGATTCTTTTATAAGCCTTTACCGTAGGCTAATGCTAAAGTAATATTTACACATTCTACCTTAATAAGTCAAAAAAGAAAAGCAACTCTTGAAAAACACTATTTAAAAGCACTGCTAAAGGAAAAGGTATTAAAATTTCTGTGTGTACTTACCACCACCTACTGGCCACAAATCAGTAAAACCTAATTCTAAACATTTAGCTTAACTATTAGTCGGGCATGTTCTTTATTCTCTATTTAATCAACTCTGTTGCTTTGCTAGCAGGTTATTTTGATTTCTAATCTAAAACTTTCATGAAACACAAGATTTAGTAAGATGGACCTGTGGAATGAAATTTTAGGGACATCTCTGTATTTCCCTCCTATTCTAAACTGAGGTTCTGTCCCTTCGTTTTACCTGGATTTGGCTCTTCATTCTTTCCCTAAATTCTCTCCGAGATTTTCATTTTATTTTTATTGCTGTGTGATTACGCTGCAGAGGAGATCTCACATTGCTAGCGGGGCATTTCCACAATCAGCTTCTCTAGGGTATTCTGTGGACTCCGTCCAAGGATCCATACTGCCCTAGAGTTAAATTCAGTCTGCATCTCAACTGGTCAGGAATTTCCCTTTCCTTCTTCTCCCAAAACTTGGTACAGGTCTGTAAGAGCTCTTGAGCTAGTCAGAGAGCTGGAAGGAACACATGTGTCTTCTGTAAAATAGAAAAATCATTTGGGGCGGGGAAAAAAAGCCTTTAAATCTCAGTAATTCAATTTTAAAAATATTTAAAAAAAAAAGCACCAGGGTCTGAAAGATTGTACAAATTCTGGTGACAATTTTGCCTGCCTTGCATGCTGTCAACACAGGATCAAGGCCTGGCATCCCATAGGGTCCCTGAAGCACACCTAGAGTGAGTCCTGAGTGCAGAGCCAGGAGTAAGCCCTGAGTACTGCTGGGTGTGGCCAAAAAACAATAAAAAAACAAACCAAACAAACAAAAAAAAACCCTTACAATTATGGTTAGAACCGTGGACTCTAAAAATTATAGTCTAGGGGCTGGAGCGATAGCACAGTGGGTAGGGCGTTTGCCTTACACGCGGCCTACCCGGGTTCGATTCCCAGCATCCCATATGGTTTCCTGAGCATCGCCAGGGATAATTCCTGAGTGCAGAGCCAGGAGTAACCCATGTGCATCACCGAGTGTGACCCAAAAAGCCAAAAAAAAAAAAATTAGTCTAGACAAAGAGAACATTCAGACATGGAGTGGCTGTGTAGGCAAGTGCGTGCCTGTCTGTGTGTGTGTGTGTGTGTGTGTGTGTGTGTGTGTTTTCATGGAGTGGCTATGTAGGCACGTGCTTGTTTGTGTTTCTGGTGTGTTTGTGTGTTTCTGGTGTATGCGTGTGTTTTTGTTGTGTGTGTGTTTGGGGTGTGTGTGTGAGTCTTATTACATGCATGTAATAAGACTAAGACGCTGGGAAGTGGCAAACAGCGGGTCAGCTGGATAGCAGCACTGTGGTCCAGGTGACTTAAATGACCTACAGTCAGACTACAAACAAGAGCTGGAAACGGGGGACAGACCAAGAATTTTGCAAGACTTTCGCTAAGGAAGGTGATAGGACAGGTTCAAATAGCTCCATTTGAGAATATCCACTTGTATTTTCTGAACCTGACAGAACAGAACAGTTCATCTTTCTGAACGAAGAAGCGTGAAATTTTACAGAAGTTACATTAATGATGTCTATTAATATAATGCGACAACCTTCTTAATGAAAATTAAGCAGAAAATTAACAATTTGTTCTGTCAAGCAAACTTATTAAACAGTTCTTGACACATCTTCAGTTTTGATGCAGGGCATGTAAGTATTTTGTATAATGGGCAAGTTTCAATGCCGCATACAGAGATGATTAGAAAAACAATACGTAGCTTCACTCCCTGACGACTCCTTGCTTGTTTTGCCTTCTCAGTATTTCCACACAGAAGCTTTCGAATGAATCGCGCTACATGATTTATGAGTTCTGGGAGAATAGCAGTGTATGGAATAGGTAAGTTATGACTTTGTCAAGGAGGTGGCAGTTTTAGAACTTCCATTAAGTGTCCAGGAATTGTTTTCCTTAAAAAAATAAATTTTGTTATTATTGTTTATTAAATAAATCTTGATAATATGAGTTGAAGCTTATTTTAATTGGCATAATTAGTTCTCTAATCAACTTCTTTTTAGCAATAGAGATGCAAGAATGCCTGGATACTTAATAGATACATATTTCAGCTCGTTTCATTTCTGAAGCTCTTTTAAGGCAGTCTGTGCTATAATACATAATAAAAGCAATAGAATTTCGGGCACAAAATAATGTTTTAAAGACAATTTATTTAACTTACTGTGCCCAGAGCCTGTATTTTTAAGATTTCTTTTATTTCTAAAAGATACAAGCTTCACAGTTTCTTAGCTGCACTATTTTGTAAACATCTTGCCAAGAGTTTTCCTTCTATAAAAACGTTTTGCTACAATTAAAGTCTATCTTTTTCAAACGATCTGCAGGTAGCATTTTAAGAAATATGTTTTTAAAATTCTGGTGACAATTGTTACTCCCAAAAATTACTCCAAAGTGCTTTTTTAAGGCTAAGTAACTATAAAATGAATCTTTGTTCAGACATTTTAGTCATCCAAAGCCTTGTCTTTACTGATTTATTCTCTACCACACTCTACCTGGGAAGAAATTTAAAATGTTCTACTTTAACCTGTAATTATTTGTACAGCCACCTTCAGACAAATTATAGCAAGACATTCCAAAGAAGTAACGTGGATTTCTTGGAAACTCCAGAACTCATATCTACTATGCTGGTTCCTGGTAATTATCCTGGGTTCACAATGCTTCTGTGCTTTTGTAATGTTTTGTGCTTTGCTTTTCTTTTTTATTTTTCTAGAGCATTACAAAGACATTCAGGGTTGAATTTCAGCCATACAGTATTCCAACACCCATCCCTCCACCAGTGTACGATTCCCAGCACCAGTGTCCCCAGGTTCCCTCCCATCACCCCCCACTCCTACCCCTTATTTTGTGCTTTTAAAGGATAATGTTTCCCCCTGCCCCATGCATAAACTTTATCAGTGGTGTTCCATTATCTCTTTAAATATTAAAAATTGAGTAGAGATCTGTGTATGTATTCTAGTGCATTTATTTCTTAGTTGGCTCCATTTGTATCACTGGCTATATTAAATCATTAATTATTTGCTGGTCAATTTTAAAAAGTTTAACTACCTTACCATTTTAATTTAGTGATCTGGGCTGGAGCGATAGCACAGCAGTAGGGCGTTCGCCTTACAAGCGGCCAACATGGCCGACCCGAGTTCGATTCCTCCGCCCCTCTCGGAGAGCCCGGCAAGCTACCGAGAGTATTCGATATGCCAGACACAGTAACAACAAAGTCTCCAATGGAGACGTTACTGGGCCCGCTCGAGCAAATCGACGATCAACGGGAGGGCCTTTACCTTTACCTTTACCTATGATACTTAAAGTGACCTATACAGATTGGACATAATAATAATGCTAGAAATATTTATAATAACTTTAAGTATTACTTGTAATTGGAACAATGGAAAGAAAAAACAAATTAAATTATTTTAGAAATCTGGCCTAGCAAATGCTTATTAAAACTAACTGAAAACCAAAATTCTACTCATTCAACTGATTAATTATAATGAGTTACTGCATATTCATATATGCCAGAAATTAGAGTGCTCAGCTTATTTGCAAGCACTGATTGAACTTAAATTCTGAGCACTATATCAGAAGAAATAAAACAATGTAAAAGGCAGTTCCTACCCAGAAAATGTTCTGTCCAGTTGGAAAGACTTTGAAGAAGAAAGTCAAGGTCAGAGCATAACATAATAGTTATTATGGATCAAAATGTACAGTTGGGTTAAAAGAAGTAATTCTTGGGGCTGGAGAGCTAGTACAGTGTGTAAGGCACTTGCATGCTGCTAACCCAGGTTCAATTCCTAGCATCACTTAGGACCCCCTGAGCCCCACCAGAAGTGATCCTTGAGCACAGTCAGGAGTAAGCCCTATGCACAGGTGGGCATGGCCCCAAAACAAACAAAGAAGTTAAAAGAACTGATATTTTAAACCAGATTTAAGATTATTTTTGAGCTGTAGTTTGAAATATGGGATTTGGACAATTGTGAACACTTTCATAGAGGCAAACTGTAGACATGACAAGCAAAAGACCTGTTACATGTGCTTGGCTAACTGATGCTATCAGGGGTGCTGAAGGCAGAGGCTTATGCAAGCAGAAGGGAGGGAAGAAATGTCTGTCATAATGAGGAATTTGAACGTTTCTTTCTTTAGTTAGGGGCCACCCCCAAATCTGCTCAGGCTTACTCCTGGCTCTGTGCTCAGGGATCACTCCTGGCAGTCTTGGGGGGACCAAACGGGGCACTGAGGATTGAACCCAGGTCCACGTGGAAGGCAAGAGCTTTACCCACTGCACTAAACTATTTTCTTAAAATAATACAGAGACATTAAAGAGTCCCAAGACAGTCAGTGAATGTTCTAATCAGTATTAAGTGAAGTTGGAGGAGAAAAGTCAGGGGTATGGAGAGGACTTGGGCAGAGTAATAATCTAGTGAAGGTGAGGGCCAGGCAGCATCTGCAGCAGGAACTAACCAGAGTTCCAGGAATTAACCATATCTAGATGTTAGCAGAGCCTATGGTTAGTGAGGATACAGCAGCACAGCGGCAAACTTTATTGAAGTATTACTTAAAATACTTAGAATTCAGTAAAACTTAGAATTTATATCCCTGATTTACAAAAATGTTCTCTCCCTACTTTTCCGGTCTAAGATTCATATTTTGGTTTTAGTCTGCTTATAACATGAAATAATAATTTAAAAAATTAAGTTCAAAAGTTTTAATTTTACTCAAAATCCAATCTCACTGATAAAATATATAAAAATGAAGAACAGGGCAGCATTTAAAAGGCACTAAATTTAAAAATCACTTTGTGTTAAGTGAAAAACTGGTTTCTGTTTTCATGGATAAACTTTTGTTGAAACATTATTTTAAAAGACATATAGTGAATTCAGACTCAAAGAATGAAGTGACCCAGTTCTATTTGCACTCAAAGTTTTATATTAAAAAATGTTTCAAGAAAGCATAGCAAACACATATGTTTACAGCAATCTGGCCACATAATTCATCACTGGTAGAACAATAAAGTCATATATCCTCATTATTATGTGCAAAGTGTTCAGTGATATCAATATTGACTTAGATGCAAACTTAGCAAATTAATAAGAACTAATTATCTTCAATCCGATAAAAAGTAAATGAAAAAATATCAGCTAGTCTCATCAAAATATTTAAGAGAAAGAAAGGTAGCAGCAGAATTAAAATTTCCACCATCCATAAATAATTATGTACTAAAAACACAAATCTTAAACCTTTCCTATCGTCCATTTCTCAAAGACCAATCATATTTATCACAGTTATATATTTGGGACACTTGTATTCACTGGAAAAGTTTTTCTAATTTTACAATATAAACATGCCAAACAATATTATTTTGAACAAATCCATTTGCTTATAGCCACCGACTCAGAGATCTATACATTTTACAGGTATTTCCAAATTTCTGCCAGTTCTAAGTAGATCGAAAGCATAACCTGATTTTATTTTCAAGATATTTATCATCTCGGGCTGACAGCTCCATGGGATGAGTGCACGCTATGCATGCAGGAGGCCTGGGTTTGATCCCCAGCACCACGCGATCCCTCGAGCTGCACTTGAAACAACTCCTGATCCCCCAAGCACCAGCAAGTGTGGCTGCAAAAATAAAACACTTAAAAGTGAGGGGCCAGAGCGACAGTGAAAGCGGGTAGGGCACTTGCCTTGCACACAGCTAACCCAAGTTCAATCCCCGGCATTCTGTAGGGTCCCCCGAGCACCACCAGGAGCAATTCCTGAGTGCAGAGCCAGGAGTAACCCCTGAGCATCGCTGGGTGTGACCCCGAAAAAAACAAAACGAAACAAAAATTTAAAGTGATATTTATAATCTTTTTACCAAACTTACACATACTTGTGGGCTGGAGCAATAGCACAGCGAGTAGGACATTTGCCTTGCACGTGGCCGACCCGGGTTCGATTCCTCCGTCCCTCTTAGAGAGCCCAGCAAGCTACAGAGAGCATCCCGCCCACACGGCAGAGCCTGGCAAGCTACCCTGGCGTATTCAATATGCCAAACACAGTAATAAGTCTCACAATGGAGACGTTACTGGTGCCCGCTCGAGCAAATTGATGAGCAACGGGAGGACAGTGCTACACATATATATGAACATGTATAATTTATATGTACATATAATTTAACAAAGGAGGTTAGACTAGCATGACATGCCAAAAGGTTAATCTGCACAGGAAGAGGTCAATACTATTTCAAATAGAAATAGACGAGGAAGATAACTGGGCAGGCTAAAGGTGAGAGAAATCTTTTAAGAATGGTTTGGGGCCTTGCACATATTTGTCTGCCTAACAAGCTATCGTCACAGATTTTTAAAAAAATGTTTTTTTCTCTTTTCAGCCTCATGGTGGATCTTAAACAACAATTAGATGCTCCTACACATTTCCCTGATGGTTTTAAGTGCAAGACGCTTATCTAAAGTGTGAACAGTCTCTGTAGTTATTAGTATACCCTGTACTTTTGTTTAATATACTTGAAGGTGTGCATTCTTCTAAAATGTCTTCAATAACTTTATTCTTGAAGTGTGAATTTTAGCTCAGTTTTCAAAGTTCACTAGTCTCAATATTTGCTAATGTTTTGTTGCATTGTAACCTGAAACCATGTAATGACAAAAATCCTAAAATGTGAGAAAAGTTTACACATAACAGATCAAAATTGTGAAAGATAAATTCTGTTGAAGAAAAATTAGGTAAAATCAGCAAATGCTACTTCGTAGAACAGCTTGTGTAGACTTGTCATAAAGGTTAAATCAGTGTATTGTGATTTTCAAAGTAATTTTCTGTGAGTGAAGTTTATTCCTATATCATGCCTATTTCCTTCAATTCCAACTCATTACCGTAAGACCACTTACTTTGTATCTCTTAAAAAGTTAGTACATAAGCATAAAGCAATCTTGGTTATGATCTATGGAATCAATCAGGTTACAAACTGGTATTGTACAAGTGAACAACTAATTCTGAGGCAATCAGTTTTCAAATAGTAATGTGTACAGATAATTCTATCACAGTTTCTTCTGTACACATGTAAAACCATCAAAAAAGAAGAGAATTTTAACTTTGAAATTTGAATCTGATTCGACTTCCATGGCAGGTGACTTAGGTCTGTAATCAAGAGGCCTATTTTTAAGATAAACAAGCATTTACATTTAAGTAAGGATTTCAGGTATTGTTAAAACAAAGCTTCAACATAAACGAACAAAGAAGCACAAACATTTTAGTAATAAGGCAGTAAGGAAAATACGAGAGAGAAGACATTCTGTTTTTCCATTTCAACTTTAGAATGACTATGTACTAGAGCGTAATTATGTACCTTATATACTCTCCATACTACATGCTTATAAATTAAATACTTTCATTAAAATGTTTGATAATAAATGCTGCTAATGAAATGCATGTAGAAAATTGTTAGCATGTTGTTCTCTAGTATGAATTTCATTAAAACTATGGGTCTCCCAGGAAAAAGCTACAAGTTAAATTTTCCGGTGTGGGGGAGTTTCTTGTTTTATTTTCACTATGGAAAACTTAGGAAAAAAAAGTAAAATTGAAAACTTGTGTTTATTTTGGGGCTACAGCCAATGCTATTACTCCTGGCTCTGACTTCAAGAATTACTCCTGGTAGTGCTTTGGAGGACCAAATGGGAGGCCAAAGTCAAATCCAGGTCAGTCATATGCAAGGCAAACGCCCTACCCACTGTACTGTCTCTCTGGTCCAAACACATTTCTTTTTTAAATAATAATTTGACTCAAAATGTTTTCTTGAATTTCTGAAACATTAATCACTGCCATTGTATACCCTCAGTTCTTAAGTGAGCCAAATAAAATTATGATTCCCCCACCTCTAGCGTCTACTAGACATAGGGAGTAAATTTTTAAATAAAATATACACAATATATGCATTTATGTGCATATATACACATGTCTATCTTGCCTTTGGTCATTTCTAAGGATGACAAATACTACAAAACAGCACCTGGCTAAACTCTTTAATTTATATACAAAGAACAACATTGATGGAGATGTACAATGATTATTCAGATAAGTTATACATTTGTACAAAGTCAAATAGATAAAACAGTCTTTGTCGTCTTACTCTGATTATATACAGTAAGAGAGGATCAAAATGCTTTGAAATCGAGGAAAATTTTGAGATACAAGCTCTTCTTGAAAATGTTGGTTATAAATGGTTTCAAAATACAAATAATAGCCAACCAAAACATTGTTCTAGTTAGTTCACTTCAATCTCAGAAAACATGTAGAATACAGTTTCTAAAATAGCATGGTGGTGCGATCTTAAGAGGGTTTATGCTCAGGAACCATGCTTAGAAGCCCAGCCTAAAGATGGACTTTTTAGATTTCAAATTGGAATTTGTTCTATCATATTTTTTTAACTTGGATAGTATCAAAAGAACCCAGGAATAGACTAATAATAATGAAAAACGGCTACATAGTAATTGCAGTGTCAGCTTTTTATACAAGCTACACAAATATTTTATATATTTGTGTGAGGAGAAGATACACACACACATACCCACACCCATATTCACTGAAATCTATAATATAAAGTGAAAGAGAAGGCAAAAAAAAATGGGGAAAAAACTGGGTCCTGGGTATAATCTCATTTTTAAAGTAAGCACTACATTTATATTTACAATGGTTATTGCAATAACCATTGAAGTTTTATTTTTATTTTTAAAAAAAACTATCTATTGGGGGTGAGGAAGGAACAACAATATGAAAAGTAAAGTACTAAAAGACCAAGTTGGGAAATCTACCAGGGACTAAAATTTGAGTCTGGGTAATAAACCAAAGAGCAGTGAAGAAAGAAAGGAGCCGGCTTAATGGTCCTGAGCATCTGAGCAAATCAAAGAATATAAGTAGAAAGAATTTATACTTACCATTATATCATCAATTTTTTGTGCGTGTGCTGCTGGACCCAAAAAAAAAATCAAAAAAAACCTTTTTCTGCAGTAACATCCAAGAGTGACAAACTGCCAGGAATTTAATGTATAAAATTTCTAGAATCTAAAATTATAAACCCCAAATTCTTCATCCATATATTTTCTTGCTTTAAGAAACTACAGATGCACCTCAATTATTTTTGCAAATGCCTAAATTTTCCCTCTTTCGGAAACAAAACTATTGGTTTTGTTTTATAATTGTTGAACTTCTGTTCAAGTGGTTTGATTCAAAGTTAGGATACAAGTAACATCTATTTCACTTTCTCTTCTTGTTTCCAAAAGGTCCATCTCTGTTAGCAATTAGGAATCTTATACAATATTTAGTTGCTATCATACCCTATAGACAACTCCATATATTTGAAAAGATATGACTAGCAAGTTATTCTCTCTTCAGTCCTTAAGAACCACACTGAAGATCCTGAATGGTTCTAAGCCTCAGGAAAGATTGTAAAAAATTCTTTACAAACTTGGTATGAAATCAGTTAGAAACAGAAAAAAAGTAACTTTAAAAGGAACAAGAAATTATGTACCATGTATACACTGTAGCAAAGACTTTATATTTGAGAATCTTTACAGCTTACACTTCCATTCCATTATTACAAATGATGAAAAAAACAACAACAAAATGCAAGTAGCATGAAAATTCTAAGTACAGTTTTCCCCTTTACTAGCCAGATTCCTGCAGTGTGCAGTGTTCATTCTCAATTTATGCAGGAAACTGCCTGCAAAGCTGAAACTGATTAGAAAATTTTTTAAAATATCTCTTTCTCATTTTAGGAGAAACCAATTACCCAACCATCAAAATTAAATTGTCACAGTCCATTACAGTTATTGTCACTAGATCCACTTCATTTGCAGGTGTCCAAAATATAAAATGAAAAATTCTTTATCTTCAGATTCCTCTGTTCTTAAAAATGCTAATTGAAACTTTGGTTGTTTTCCTGTAATACAGAAAAAAAAGTTACCAATTACATGGGAGTTTTTACTAATAGTTAATCAAAGTAAACGCTGTGACACAGATCAAATGCATGTTACTATAGAAATTAATAAGGCAACCGGAATTTGTCAGATAATAAGCACTTCTGCATTTAATAAGGCTTACCTAATTCATTTTAAGTATTGTATTCTAAACCTACTGTTTTGTATTTGTGGTATCTAGTTCTTGAAAAAAAAAAATGTTTCAGTGCATCAACCAAAAATAAATTCTACTGTGTAAAATCTATTCAAAATGTGTGTGAAATTTTATTTTCAAAACAAAAAGTCAAAGATGAAAGAAGTCAAATGAAAAAGTAACTATTTTATACAGCACTAAAGTTTATACTTGTTTTTACAGAACAAAGGAAACAGGACAAGTTCTTAGAATCCTAATGCACTGTTTCCTCTTTAAGTCTTTAGAACATTAAGTCTTTAGAACATTTAAATTTAAAAAACTTGAATAAACGTTATTACCATGCTAAAAATGTTAATTGTAATTAAGCTATATTTGGGGAGGTTAAAGAACCCCCCCCCCCCCCCCGAGATATAGAGCACAACCCATTCACAGGATACCTTCATTTATGAGTTTGTCTCAATAGAATCCTAGTTTCTTTTATCTAAATAAAACAGTGCTTATGAAAACGCCAAAACTCAAATTCAAATTTTGGTGAAAATGTAAGTAAAGGCCATATAGGACAAATAAAAAATTGATTGAGTTCATAATCAGAGGTAAGTGTCATACTAATCACTATTTTTTTTTTCTGTGTTTGAGCCAGTCTTGGTTGTGTGTTCAGGGCTCACCCCTGGTGTGTGCTGCGGTTATATACAGTCCCAGTAAACCGCATGCAAGGTAAGCATCAGAACCCTATACTATCTGTCCAGCCCCACTTCTTCATTTGATTCTGTGAACCAGGTACCTATCATCCTTATCTGCAAGTGCAAAATTGGTCTTAAGAAAGTTAAGTGAATTGGGAGCAAGAAAGAGCTTGCCTGACAAATGGCCAACCTAGATTCAATTCCAGGCAACCCACGTGGTCCCCTGAGGCTCGCCAGGAGTGAGCCCTGAGCTCAGAGCTAGGAGTAAGCCCTGAGCACTGCTGGGTGTGGTTCAAAAACAAGAGAGAGAAAAAAACTCTAAATGACTTGTCTACATGTTTGAATCATGTAGCTGTACACATTAATGCAGATACAATTTCCAATCAAGTCGGATGGCAAAACTCACAATATCCTAAAAGATGCTTGTGTCTGTTTACTGTATGCTTATTTTAATGGAATTCAATACAGTGGTTCAGAAATACAAAGGGCTGAGAACACACACACACACACACAAAGTTAAAGGCTGAAGAGAAGCTACAGGGGTTAAAGTGCTTGCCTTGTACACAACTGACCCCAGATAAGCACCGGGGTCCCCAGAGCACCTTTTGGGAGCCAACTCACCACTCCCTCTGAAAACATCTTGAAGAAATGGGATGCTTTTTTTATGCTTTATAAAAAAAAAACTAGCCACAGTGAGGATTCAGACAACACATGTATTGTCAAAATGTGAAAGAGAATTACACTTCTCAGTAAATAGTGCGAGCTATTACTAGAATCTATGGTTGGGGATGGGGGAAGGGAATCCCTAAACCTCACCTTATATAGTCAAATCCAATCCGGGTGAGTTACAAAATATAATTATAAACCAAAACGACAGAACTTCAGCAATGACTATGAGGTACTTTGGGGGCCTGAGAGCTAGGGCTGCAGGGTAAGCACAGAGCTAGCTGGAGCAACTGAGCAATTTCAGTTGTGACGGGAAAAATGGGAAAAACAATAAAAACATTAATTTGGGGGTCGCTCTGGGGAGCTGAGGTGGTGTTGCCTTGTCTTGATACTCTGGTGGTAGTGAGGTGAGGTAACTGTCTACCAAGACCATTAATGTCAAGAACATTGCAAACACATTATAATAACTTTTTAAATAATTTTGGAATATTTTTTGCATGCCCTTTCAGTAGAAAAATATTTCTGAAACAAAACTGTCATTCTATTTATGACGTGGTAATGATGATTCTGTTATACTTTTTTTTTTCTTTTTTGGGTCACACCCTCTGATGCTCAGGAATTACTCCTGGCTGTGCACTCAGGAATAACTCCTGGTGGTGCTCAGGGGATCCTATGGATGCCTGGGATTGAACCCGGGTTGGCCACGTGCAAGGCAAACACCCTTCCCGCTGTACTATTGCTCCGGCCCCACTGTTATACATCTTTAAATGTACATTTTTCTATATTTTATTGCACAATGAAAGGGATAAAAATGTAAACTAATGAAAACATTTGAGACAAATATTTTAGAATGAAGCAATACAAAATTAGGGAACTATTTACAGGTTATGATCCAGTAAAGATCGGGAAAGTGCTCACTGGCTTTTGGAGAACAATGGGATGATCAGGCAGAAAGTCTGGTTTTCTTCTGCTGATGGAAACACTTGAGAGCTTCAACAGGAAATCTCTGCTGTATTTAATTCGCTCTGTGAAATTTAAAGGTCACGTTAGAAAGGACACAGAACTCACCCAGATCACATTCTGACTTGTTTGTTTTGGGGTCTTCCTCAAATTTCCACTTAGAAACTTAGAGAAAACCTTATAAACTTTAAGAAAACTTTTTCTTAAAAAGTACATCTATTATCTTATATAATGGAGGTAAAGTTTTATTTAAAAAAATGCTTTTTTTTTAATGAAACATCTACTTGGTACCCTTTCAGTAACAGTATTTTGCAAACCACAGTACCTAAAAGGAAAAAAAAAAGCAGCAGCAAAGTGCCATAGAGACTGGTGGGGAGGGGGAGGGGCATTGAACTTGGGACACCAGTGAAAGGATTCAACAATATATAACTGAAACTCAATCATAAACAACGTTTTAACTGTATATCTCATGGTGATTCGATAAAAAAAAAATTCTATGGTATACCTCACTTTGGAATTTCTTCTGAAGATTATAAAACGCATGTGTTTGGAGGAATATGAGAAAAGCTGCTTTGGAAATTTATCTTATAATCTCTAGGGGGGGAAACATTTAAAAAATAAAATAATTTTTTAAAAGTCTACTACCTCCAACTCTCCTTTTACATGAGCAAAGTAGTCACATATTTGGGGAAAAGTGGAAGAATTAGAATGATTTCTTAAAATTGGTGATCAGTCGGGGGTATGGTGCTGCCAGTAGGTCAATCTGTACCTGTGAGGCGAGAGCATCAGCAGCCTGATGGCGACTTCAGACTTCTAGATACTCCAAAATTGCTGCTGTGCCTTTGGCCAGACCCCAACAACTTGGGGCCAAATTTACCAAGAAAGTAAACATCCAAAAGGTAAGTATGTGGGAGGCACACCCACAAATCACCTCCAGCTCAGCTATGTAGCTGGAGGCAAGGCCTCTTGTTCCTGATCAAACTGCTTAATGGCCATGATCCCAGAGACTCAGAAACAAATCTCGGAACCCAGCAGCTTTTGGAGAAAAGTGTCTGTTCCCTGCAGCAGGTTACCAGCACTGGAACACTATAGGGGGCAAAGGGTGCTGTCCCTCTGTCTGCTCCCCCTTGGCAGGTAGGTGGCCACCATCCACCAGAGGTCACTGGATAATCAGGTTTGGGCCCTCAGTGATGAGACACGTGGGGGCCTCACAGGCTGGGGGTGGGGCTGGCCCTTTCCTCCCCACCCCAACGAGACCCCGGGTTGCCACGAACGAGCAGCCTCTCTGGCTCCTGATCAAGCTGCTTAATGGCCAGGATCCCAGAGACTCAGTAACAAATCTCGGAACCCAGCAGGTTTTGGCAGGAATCCCTCCAGATTTAATTGTTAAAATTTTGGAATTCCAAAATCGTGCAGCACGGCTGTGTGATGTCATATGTTATTCATAATCAGCAAAAGAAAACAAATTGTCTACAATTGCCTTTTCGACAGATCTGACTATTGGGGTAAAATCCCAAATAATAATGGTGGATCTGGCATCGAAATGTTGAATGTAATCAAAGTAGAGAGAATGTGGAAATCATCTGCCCCACATGTAGGGGGAGGGTGTGAAATGGGTGGTATACTGGGGTATTTGGTGGTGGAAAATGGGTAGTGGTGAAGGGATGGGTGTTTCAACATTGTATGACTGAAACTTAAGCCCGAAAGCTTTGTAACTGCTCTCACGGTGACAATAAATAAATTTATAAAAAAAGGGGAAAAAAAGTAAGGTGGAGTTCATGCCCAATTCAATCAGCCTAATCAATGGCTGAATAAATAGCAATACTCCTACATTAAAATTTAAAAATATAAAAAAAAGTAAAATTGGTGATCACTGTCTTCTTTCACCTGATTTTCAAGTCTAGTACGATGAAGTGGAATACCAGTAGCCCCTAATGAGCAATTCAGATTCTGCCAAAACAAAATCTAAGTGAATTCAAAGTCAAATTAACATATTAAAATTTAATATAATCAAAATACATTCAAGAAACATGTGCTAGACACCCACCTGCCTATAGGGACTGTCAGGTAAGATAGAACCTGTATCTTTAGTACTGTAGCACAGTCCTCCTGTTGTTCATCGATTTGTTCGAGTGGGCACCAGTAATATCTCCACTGTGACTTGTTACTGTTTTTGGCATATCAAATACGTCACGGGTAGCTTGCCAGGCTCTGCCATGTGGGCAGGATACTCTCAGTAGCTTTCCAGGCTCTCCAAGAGGGGCGGAGGAATGGAACCTGGGTTGGCTGCGTGCAAGGCAAACACCTTACCTGTTGTGCTACTGCTCCAGTCCTATCTATCTACCTAATACCAAATGAAACATCAGCTTTGTGGAATGCAAGAAAAGAAACGCTCTAATAAAAACTTACAAATTTCTCAAATAAAATAAATACCACAACCAATAAGAGCCCCTCCCGTTGATCGTCGATTTGCTCGAGCAGGCCCAGTAACGTCTCCATTGGAGACTTTGTTGTTACTGTGTCTGGCATATCGATAACCAATAAGAGAAATTATCAAAATATAAAAAAACGTGTAATTAAAAAGAAAAATGGAGTTTTTAAAAAAGACATACATAAATCTCAGTTCAATTGATAAATTTCAATTAAAAATCAGGAAAAAATGAAGGAACAGAAATGACTAACACTGGAGTTGAAGGGTTATCACCGCAGATCCGATGGGCATTAACTAGAAAATTAGAAAATGTTATGAGTACTTCAAGCCTTTTGGATCAAAATGGTTAAAAAATGAAATACATTATGCTGTATTATATAGTATATTGTAATCCCTTTTTGTTCAAATACATTTATTTCCCTTTAATAAAACTAGGAACAAAACTTCTGGTTTACATAGTGGAAAAAATTTTAGAATTTCTAAAACTGAAAAAAAATAGTAATAATTGTCAATGCCAACACACAGGCAAGAGTGAGAGCCATTCAATTTGCAAATTTTTCCAGTGATGTTAATTTTAGAATGAATTTTTCATGCGGTTATGCGTTCACCTATTCATATGATACAGTTATCCCTTTTCTAGCCAAGAGAAATAAAAACATATTTGCACATGGAACATTTGTAGAAATCTTCATAGAATTTCTCATGATAGCAGAAACTGAGAACAAGAAAAATGTCCATCAATAGTGAAGAGATACAGTGTTGATACAACACTCGAATGATGGCACTGGCTGTGGTATAGGAACAACGTATGCATGAGACTTTACTAACAATCCTACCACTTATCTATCATATCTCAACTTTCTTGGTTTTGGGTCCACACTCAATGGTACTTCGGGCTCACACCCGACTCTGCACTCAGGGATCACTCCGGACAGCCTCAGAGCTTCACTCAGGGTCCTAGGAAGCAAAACTGAGTTGGCCACATGCAAGGCAAGCAACCTACCTCACTGTACTACAGCTCTAGCCCAATTTTGCACAACACTGTCTAGTATCTCTGGCTTCTGGAATAACTGTAATTTCAATAGAAAACTAAAAGCGGCTCTCGTGGAATACTTATCCACCAAGCAGAGAAAGCAAGCAACTACAAGAATTTCTCATTCTACTACATTCCACGGGGCCGGAGCTATAGCACAGTGGGTAGGGTATTTGCTTTGCACACGGCTGGCCCAGGTGAGCCAGGTTCGATTTCTCTGCCCCTCTCAGAGAGCCTGGCAAGCTACTGAGAGTACCTCGCCCGTATGGCAAAGCCTGGCAAGCTACCCATGATGTATGCCAAACACAGTAACAACAAGTGTCACAATGGAGACATTACTGGGCCCGCTCGAGCAAATCAATAAACAACGGGAGGACGGAGACAGTGACTACATTCCATAGACACTGATTTTCTTTATTGATGTGTGTGATGGTAACCCCCCAAGTTAGGTCTACTAGTGCATATGCCCACTTAAGAGTTTTTGTGTTACATTTTTTGCAATTCTAGAAATATTTTTTTTCTCATTGTATCTGTTATGATGATCTGTGATCAGTGATCTTTGATGCTAGAGGGTTTCTGTTTGGAGACGCCAGGCACTGTGTCCATACTAGGCAATGAACTTAATAAATACGTGAGATGGCTACTCCACACACCAGTGAACAGCTCCTTTAGTTCACGACTTTGCCTCCCTCAGGAACCACAAATTGAAATAAGGCCAATTCATAATCTTACAGTGGCCTCCACGGCTCACGTAATAAAGTTGTATATCTTCCACTACAAATCACTATAAATGATTATGCTTATAATGAAAGAATGTGTGTCCAAAGCCAAGATACGCTGAAATCTAGGTCTTCGCTAAGTTGTTAATTTAGCGAGAAAGTTCCTGAAGGAAATTAAAATTGCCACTCCAGTGAATACATGACGAGAAAGGAAAAAGCAACCTTATTCTGATATGGAGAAAGCTCCAGTGTCCAGAGAGTTGATCAAGCATGTCACAACATTCCTTAACGCCAAGAACAATCAATCAAGAGCAAGATCCTAAATCTCTTCAACTCTGTGTAGGCTGAGAAAAATTTCACAGAATTACAGAGGTGAGGAGGCTGCCGGAGAGAAGTGTGAATTTCACCAAGTTTGGCTCATGAGATTTAAGGAAGAATCCATCTCCGTAACATAAAAGTGCAAAGTGAGGCAGCAAATGTTTATCTGGACTCTAACAAGTCAGAACTTAATTTATAAGTGGGGACTACACTGAACAGCACATTTCAATGCGGACAAAAATGAAATGTTTTAAGCCAGAAGGAAACACCACCTAGAATGTTCATCATGGCTATGGAGGAAGGAGGTCAAAACCCAACAACCACAAGGCGTCCAAGATAAGCCAACTGTCCTGCTCACAGTTAATGCAGTTGGTGACCTTAAGTTATTAAGTCAACACTCATTTGCTGTTCAAAGCCCTAGAATTCTCGAGAATTCTACTACATCGATTTTACTTGTGTTCTACGAATCTGATAACAAATCCTGATAGCTTATCAGTTCACAACAGGGTTCGCTTGAGAACTGTGAAGACCTACTGATCAAAAACATTCCTTTCAAAATATTACTGCTCTTTTGATGATACACCTGGGTCACCACCCAAGGTTGCTGATGCAGATGAAACAGAACATCAATGTTGCTTTCATGTCTGAAAAATGCAATACTCCTTCTCCTTCTAATATATGTATCAATGAGTTATTTTGACTTTCAGGTACTCTACTGTTTAGAAAAACATTTCACAACACTATAGATTATTCTGATGAATGTGGGAAAAGCTTTCCCAGGACCATTTGTTGTAAAAGGGTTGGTTTCCTCGCAGAGCAATACTATGAATATGATTAAGGAGAACAGACTCCTGCAGAAAGGCAAGAGACGGGGCCGGTGCCCTGCCTTGGTTGGGTGGTCATGAGCTATGTTCCAATCTGCTGTTCCAGCCCTCTCCCCGACTCCCCCACAGCCCCAACCATCCCCAACAGGTGAGGTTGTAACTCTTGGTTCTGGGGATGCTGCAGGTGGTGGGGAGAAACATTCTTCTTGAGCCTTGTGTTGGGAGCAACTTACTGAGTTGCTCCCAACATGGGATGGTTGTAACTGCAACTGCAATTGTATTCAGCAGAACCAGCATATCAATTTATTATATTAAAATAAACTCTTCTATGTTAAGCCATTATTATTGCTCTGTCGTTAGAAGTCCCTTGCCCTTTTTTTCAAGGCAAATTGAGAGACTCACTGATAAAACAAACTCACAAAATAATATAGTAAAATTGGGGTCACAGAGACCGTACAAGCATAATAGGCACTTGCCTTGCAAGTGGCTGATGGCTGATGGGTTCAGTTCTTGGCATCCCATATGGTACCCCCCAAGTCACACAAGGACTGATCTCTGAGCACAGACAGAACTAGGAGTAAAGCCCTGAGTACTTCCAAGATGTGTACACCCAAAGGAAAATAAAGTGGATATATAAAAGATATAATGTATCCTAATGTACTGATTATAAAGTTAGGTTTGCAACTAAACTACATGTATATTGACGGAATATCAGTGGCTAAGACATTCCATTTGAGATTTACAGGAAGATGTTTACCTTTTTTAACTGGAGATTGATGTTGCTGTTGTTCATTAAGACCTTGAGTAAAGGCTTGCATGCCATTCGTCTTACACTGGTTGCGGGGAGAGGGGAAAAAAACTCTTAAATCAGGTTTTAAAATTTCAGCAATCCTTTTTTATCCCACCCAGAGACATTTTTCTACCAACTCTTAGTAAGGGAGAGAAATGTCACAGTGATGGCCACATAGTTTGTTTCACAATCCCATAAAACCTGGCAGAAAGCCGGCAGAACACAAGGGTGAGGCTGATGTCCCCTCCTGAACCCCGGAGGCTGAGAGGGTATGTTAGAGAGGAAGAGGAGGAATAGCACATTCCGTGGCAGGGCTGCACTGGCCCTGCAAGAAGGGGCTCTCCTGGGGCAAACAGCCAGCAGGGGCTGAAGGTCAGGAGTCCTACTCGAATCCCACTGTCTGAGAGTCGGGGGGTGGCCCTGCAGGGTTCCACCATGAAAAGCTGCATTTGGAAGCCTGGCTCAGAGCTCAGCTCCATCAAAGCTGTAACTGAAAATCTTGCCTCTCTGGCTCTACTCTGTGGCACTGCCTGTGAGTGGAAGTCTCCCTATAGCTGAAAACAACAACAACAACAACAAAACAGCAGTTGGGGCTGGAGCGATAGCACAGCGGGTAGGGCATTTGTCTTGCACACGGCCGACCCGGGTTCAGTTCCCAGCATCCCATAGGGTCCCCCAAGCACCACCAGGAGTGATTCCTGAGTGCAGAGCCAGAGCATTCCCTGTGCATCACTGGGTGTGACCCAAAAAGAAAAAAACAAAAAAACAGCAGTCGTGCCAATCAGGAAAAAAGTGGCAAACACTATTTATGGAACAAGAGATATGATGCCTCTCAGCAGAGACAAAGCCTTACATGTGTAACCTGACACCAGAAAAATAGTATTTGTTTTAAACAGGATCATTACTGGAGAAAAAAATAAAGACAACTTGTGCTGAGGTCCATGAAATAACAAAGCTAATTTAGGACCTTTCAAGCGCTGCACAGATTTGAGTCAAGCAAATCTGCTGAGGAAACTGCTGGTCAAATCAAGGCTCTTGAAATGTATTTCCAAAGAGTCTACGTATGCATTCCTTATTTTAAAGTGAAAAATAAAATACTGTTACCAGACTCGTTACTTATATATAAATCACTATGATAATAGAGAAAAGTTTAATGCACACCAGCCTCCACTCCCAAAATGAAAATAGAAGGTTCTATCTTATTTTTAAAACCTCAAAGACAAAAAGTAAACAAGAATAAAGACATAACCCATCAGCAGTTTATTTCTGTGATGTAAAATACCTCCTATAAAATATTTTTATTAAAAACCTTTAGAAATATGTGGGGGGGGGGGAAATTAAGAATTCTAACACGGGTGAAAGAAAACAAATTTTCCTTGAGCCGATCAAAAGTGTCCAGTGTCCACTTCCCTCGTCACAGGCCTTATAAAGACATGGTGCTGTGCTCTGTAACAATGCAAGCTGTGAGAGCAGCCATCCCCTGAGTCTCTGGATACTCATTCAAGAGCTTAAATGCATGGCACAAGAAGTCTCAGACAGATGGGGAGGACATCTGGCAACGTCCCCTCCAGGATGGGCAGCAGCTGAACTCCTGGCCTGCAGACAGGAGAGCATGCAGTGCTGAGTGTGAACCATCTGTCAGCCAGCCTGAGGTTTCCCGGGGTCCAGACACATGTCTGACCTGGTGACAAACAGTCACCTGAGCCCAATCAGGTCACAGAACCATGAAAACTCAAGTGCTGCTGCTGTCGCACTTTTCAAATATGTAGTAACTTTTTTTTTTTTTAAGTTAAAATGATGTTCCTGGAAGAAAGAACATACGCCATATGGCAGGGCTGGGGACAGTCCCTCCATATGGCCCACGGGGCGTGACAGGACACGGATACAGGCTTCTCCTTGGTGGCCTGCAGCTTCTCTGCTAATATGGTTCGGGCAGCAAATGACACTAAATATTTCTATCAAGGGCCCGAGACAGGAAACAGATTCCCATCGCTGCCATGCAGAAGCATGGATTCAGGAATAGGGATGAGGCTGAAATGCAGGAGGACAAGCCTTGAAGCTGGGGTCCGATCTCCAACACCATAAGGCCACTCCCCTGAGTACTCAGTAACCCACACACCCAACGGGTTGCCCATGGAAGGAACACCCCCATAAACAGGGTTTCACACAGAGAAATGAAGAGAGAGAATGCTGGAAATGGGTTGGATTACAATCGGATCAACTTTGGATTTCAGCAAGTTTGAAACACAACACACAAAAGCAAAAGTAGAAATGTGTTGTGTAACGCATTTACGGTGCAAGCCACAACAGAGCAAGAATGTGAAAGGATGAAAGGAGAGTCTATTAAAAAGCTGTACGAGGGCATGGAGAATTGATTTGTTGGCTGCCCGCCCTGCGTGGACAGATCTGATTCCCAACGCGTGTCCCCATCAGAACTGCTGACGGACCAGCATGGTGGACCCTGTGTAGCACCAGCTAACAGCACACACAAGACCAGCAGCCAAACAAACGGGTCTACGCAGCCACACAGAGCATTGCCTACACCCCCAAGTCCTCAGCAGTGCTTGGAGCAGCCCCTTATTTTTAAAAATTAAAAGGCCACAAATTCTAGTGAGCTTATATACACCTATATGCACACAGGTATGTAACAGGAAAAATATCGACAGCACATGTGTGTATCACATGGTTAGATGAGAAAAAAAACTGGGCAAGGAATGCCCTGCCACAGAGGCAGGGTGGGGTGGGGGGATGGGGGGTGGGAGGGATACTGGGACCCGTGGTGGTGGAGAATGGGTACTGTGGAGGGATGGGTACTTGATCGTTGTAGAATTGAAACCCAAGCACAAAAATTTGGAAGTCTACACTACAACTGTACCTCATGGTGTTTCACTAATAAAAATTAAATTTTTAAAAAAAAGAGCTATAGTGCATATTTCCTTTGCTCTGTAAGGGCTTGAGACTGATCCTAATGTTTACAAACAACTAAGCAAGGTACCCGGCAAACAATAGCCATCCAGCAGATGTTATTTTTCAGTGATTAAATACTTCATTTATTATCATTTCTAAGACTTACTCTGCTAACTCCACTCTGTAAGCACTGAGCGCTACACGGATATTCATTTTGAAAGTTGAAAGGAAATACTGCTCCTGTGAGGGAAAATAAAAAGGTAACTGTTTAAAATGTCCTTGACTTCAATGCACCAGTCAACACCCAAGACATTCCAGGCAGTTTAAAATTGTTTTCTGATAGCTCAATTATTCAGCAACTGAGACACAATGTTAGAGATTGTATACAAGTGTGGAAAGAGTTTAGAGATCAACGAACTCAAATCCATAAATCATGACTACATGACAAATTCATAAGATATGACCTTAAAAATAAGTTAAGCAGTACAGAGAAAATACTAGGGGAGTAGACTTTGGGGTTGGCAGAGCTTCACAGGAGAAAGTAATTTAATCTGTGTGTTTTTAAAAAAAATATGAAGAGATTCCTTTGGAAACACAAGCTGTCTAGAGAGTATGGGGAAGAAAAAAGGTTAATTAAGATCAAAATTAATTTCTGATTTAATAAAATGTTCTACCAAATGAAAACCACGCCTCACTGGATTTGAAAAAAATAAAATTAAATTAGAGTTCAGGGGCTGGAACGATCTCACAGCGGGTAAGGTGTTTGCCTTGCAAGTGGCCAGCCCGGGTTCAATTCCCAGCATCCCATATGGTCCCCTGAGCACCACCAGGAGTAATTCCTGAGTGCAGAGTTAGAAGTAAACCCTGAGCATCACTTGGTGTGACCCAAAAAGCAAAATAAATCAATAAATAAAATAAATTAGAGATCATCAGGGTACTTGCTCACCACCGTTTATGCTTGTGACATCCTTAGAGGTAAAGATCAATGAAAAACAGGAGGTAAGAGAAGAGTAATTTACACAGGCTAGTTCAAGATAAAATTTTATCCCTTTAGGATAAAATCAGAGGCGTTACACAACTGCTTCTTCAGTGAAGTTTTAGACGAGAGGATCAGCGCCAATAAGATATGGTGCAGTCCAAATAAAGGGTGTTGGGAAGATCCACCCAGGATGGGAGATGCATGCTGAAAGTAGACTATAGACTGAACATGACTGCCACTCAATGCCTCTCTTGCAAACCACAGGACCCAAAAGGAGAGACAGAGAGAACAAAAGGGAATGCCCTGCCACAGAGGCAGGGTGGGATGGGGGGGTTGGGGGGTGGCAGAGATACTAGGATTAGTGGTGGTGGAGAATGGGCACTGGTAGAGGGATGGGTAATTCGATCACTGTATAACTGAAACCCAAGTACAAAAATCTATAAGTCTACAACTGTACCTCATGGTGTTTCACTAATAAAAATTAAATAAATAAATAAATATTAAATTAAAAAAATATATGGTGCAGAAAACCCTTCATTTGTCTAGCCTAAATCACAGCTCACTACCTCCACTACCCAGCTGCCACCACACTCCAGGACGCTTTCCGGACCTGCGTGGCCGCAAAGTGGCCACGCAACACATCATAAGACACTAAATACCCATCTTCCGGAATTGCCGTACCATATTTGATAGGGTTCAAATATGGTAACACCTACGAGGGCGATTAGAGGTCGCCCCAAAAGCCTCTATCCCTCTCGGAAAGACTGGCAAGCTACCGAGAGTATTCCGCCCGCACGGAAGAGCCTGGCAAGCTATCCGTTGTGTATTCAATATGCCAAAACAAGTAACTACAATGGGTCTCATTTGGAGACGTTACTGGCACCCGCTCGAGCAAATGGATGACTAACGGGAAGTTAAGTGATTAAGTGATGAGTGAAATCACAGCCACTTCCAGAGGAGACATGACAAGTGGAGATCATCTTTCTTGAATCTGAGTGGAAAACAATGCTGGATTGAGGAATTGGCATCATTCCTATTTTTTCCTGCTTCATCTTTATACCCAATAAATGGTCTGGTTTTTGCTTTTTATAAGAAGACAGAGGAACAGCAGGTTAAGGAGAATTTAAATGGTTATATGGATATCACTTAATTAAAACACCAAAAGCACTGTGCAATAATAAACAGAATGAAAGGATGAATGCTCTAGTTCGGGAGTTAAATACCAAGTATTTGTACAAAAGGATTTTGTTTTATGGGGGAAAAAATAACTTTAGAATTTGTTCATTTGGGCTTTCTGAAATTAGATTTTCAGAAGTCTCAGAATTACATTTTTTAAGGTTCCAGCCCAAGACCCTAATCAGTAAGTAATGTTCTGCCCTTACACATCATTTTTTTTCTGGCATTAAGTATATCTCTAATAAGGCTAATTCTCTCTGTGTCATGATTGCTCTGCAGTGATTATAATTACAGGGCACAATTTGTACTCACTTTAAAAATGAGACATAAAAAAGTGCAAAGGGGCCAGAGTGACAGGACAGTGGCACAGTGGGCATTCTTTGCATGCGTCTGACCCAGGCTGGATCCCCAGGACACCCTCTATATGGTCTCCCAAGCCCCATCAAGTACTGCTCCTGAGGGCAGTACCAGAAGTAAGCTCCTAGCATCACAGGGTACCCCAACATACATACACACACACACACACACACAAACACACACACTCTTACTCTCAGTCAAGACCTTTGCTTCCATTGTCCCAGACTGTGAACTGGTAGCCTATTAAGAATCCTTTTCTGGGGATGGAGAGTTAGTCTAGGGGTTCAAGTTATCTGACTTATACTCAGCCCCAGTTCAATGCCTAGAACTACATAGGATCCACAAGTCATGCCAGGAGTGATCCCTGAGCATATAGCCAAGAGCAAGCCCTGAGCACCACCAGGTATGGCCCAGAAACCAATAAATAAATAAATAAATAAATAAATACCAGCAACAATTTAAAAAAGAATCCTTGGGGCCAGAGAGGTAGGACAGTGGCTATGGCACTTGCCCAGTACACAAATGACCTGGGTTTAACTCCCAGCACCTCCTCTGGTCCCCAAGCCCCGCCAGGAGTGACCTCTGCGCACAGAGACAGTATTAAGCTCTGAGCACAGCCAAGACCAAAAATAATTTAAAAGTATATAAAACAGAATCCTTTTCTGAATGCAAACCTCAGTAAGCACTGAGGGCTAACATGTGTACAGGACAGCAAAGCGTTTACGTGGCCTTGGTCTTAGGGATACCAAGAAGAATCACAGAGGAAAGGAGAGAGGTTATTGTTGTTTTATTGTTGTTTTCTTTTTTTTTTTTTTGAGGACCATTTTTTGGGGTGAAACTCTGAAGTTCTTCAAATAGAGATCATTATTCTTCATTATTTATGTGCATAGCGACCATCAGCATTCTTTCATTCAGCTCGGCTCTAATTAGTCACTAACCTAGTCCTAGTTAGAGAGAGATAGCCCAGGTTACGAGGTTACTCACCAGGGGGAGAAGCCAGATGACGAACAGGTCTTGCAGGTTGAAGCGGTTTACCAATAAGTTTTTTGGTTTCCATTATCACAAAGACCTTGAGGTTCCATACTTCAAGAAAGGGGAAAATTTTAAAAATAAATAAATAAAACAGGTTTCTCTTTAGAACAACATCATCAGGATGCCTTAATGTCATGATTATTTATTGTCTATTTATGAGTTAGGGTAGAAAACCACTACAAAAAAGTAGAATATGGGGTCAGAGGGATAGTCCAGTGGGGAGAGCATTTGCCTTGTACAAGGCTGACCTAGGTTCAAACCCCGGCAACCCATAGGGTCCTCTGAGCACTGCCAGGAGTAATTTCTGAGTGCTGAGACAGGAGTAACCCCTGAGCACCATTGGGTGTGAACAAAAAAAAAAAAACAGCAACAAAAAGCAGCATGTGGTATGCCTTGAACATAAATATAAGATCCTATGCCTGACATGCCTATTTAGAATCAGAGTTGAACATTCCCTCTTTAAAACAGTTCCCTAAGTATCTCTGATATCCTTCTCTTATGGCCTTTTCTTTTAGCTCATCCACTTGTTAGTAGTTGTGGTTACTATTATTATTAATATTATTATCGGGCTGGAGCGATAGCACAGCGGTAGGGCATTTGCCTTGCGTGCAGCCAGCCTGGCCGAGCCGGGTTCGATTCCTCCGCCCCTCTCAGAAAGCCCGACAAGCTACCGAGAGTATCTCGCCCGCACGACAAAGCCTGGCAAGCTACCCGTGACGTATTCTATATTCAAACACAGTAACAAAAAGTCTCACAATGGAGATGTACTGGGCGCACTCGAGCAAATTGATGAACAACGGGAGGACAGTGTTTTTGTTTTTAATATTATTAGAATTAATTTGGCAGTGTGGCTCCCAACAGCTCTATAATACTGAGTCTGCCTGCATGCTCTCCACCACTCTCCACCAGCAGGATCTCAGCCCTCTCCCCACTTCCTACATCGCTGTCCTCTGGTGTCTTCTAGGACCTTCTTTCCCTTAGGGACTACCCTATTTCTTGCTTTGGTTCTTTATATTCCCCAGGTGAACGTCATCATTCGGTACCTTTTCCTATCTTTTTTGTCATTGTTTTTTTCTTTTGTTTTGGGACCTCAATGAGAGATGCTCAGGGGTTCCTCCTGAGCTCTGCACTCAGGAATCACTCCTGGCGGAGCTCAAGGAACCATCTGGGATGCCGGGGATCAAACCGGGGTTGGCCACATGCAAGGCAAGTGCCCTACCTGCTGTACTACCTCTCGGGCCCTTTTTTCCTTTTGACTCACTTTACTTTGGTGTGATACTCTCTACCTCCATCCTGGTTCCAGCCCACAGCATGATTTCATTATTTTTTAAAGAGATGTGATATTTTACTAGGCAGATATCATTTCCTTTGGTAATTCCTATTTTTGTCTCCAACTAAATGTAGAAATCCTTCTGTCTCCGGCTTTGAACCTCTTAGCTAAACCTCAACTTCTCTCACGAACACGGCTACTTACCGACCTGAAAATTCCACCACAATTTATACATCCAGCTCCTTTTCTAAAACCAGTTCATTTTTAAATTGCCTAAAAATATTTCAGTTAATATCTCATCACAGAGGCCTCAAATGCTATATATATATCCAAGATCATATTAAACGGCTCTGAAAGAAAAAAAAAGCCCTACTCCTGATTTTCTTAGTTTTCACACTCCAGCTTTTCTTAAAGAAACCTTCAACTTGGTGGCAAAAAATTGCACCCTGCCACAATCAGTATCCAGTTCCTGACCATCTACTACTTCCAAAAGACCTCGTGAATTTTTTTCTCATTCTTGTCACTAGATTTTTAGTTTCACAGCAGTTCTTTATTCATCTCTGGGACCACTCCAAGATATAAACATCCCCTTCTCCCCTTTGCTCCCAGCAAATATGCCCACCGCATGACACTTAGAGAACACAGTGCTGTAAACTATAATGGCTGGCTTCTTTTCCGTAAGAATTAAAATTGAAATTTCTTTAAATGAAGGACCTAGACTGGATACAAAGTAGATGCAAATCAAACATTTGATGAATGGGTACATTCAGTTCTTTCTTTTTTTCTTTCCAAACTATGATCCTTTCATAAAAATAATTCTATCTTTGAAAAAAAATTAGAGAGATAATACAGTGTACAGGGCACCTACCTGGCACACAGCAAACCCAAGGTTCTATTTCTGGCACCACACATGGTCCCCCAAGCCCCACTGGAGTGACCCCAGAACATACATCCAGAGTCAGCCCTGAGCATCCCACCATTCCCCTAAAAATTTCACTGTTGGGGCAGAAGAAACAGTACCAAGGTTAAGTGCTTCCTAGCCCACTGCTGTGGCCACACTCCGATTCGATTTTAAGATATGTCTATGGGCCCTGCTCACTGCCAGGAATGGCCCCCACCCCTTCAAATAGCTCATTATAGTCCAGGATATAGCTCAGAGTTCAACTGCATTTGAAGCTCTGGGCTCCATCCCCAGCACTGAAAAATAAGCAACAGAAACACCTTAGTTCCCCATCACCCCAGCATCCTTACGTCTGAAATGGTCAGAAGCCTCTTTCTTCAGATGGCCAACCCACGTGCATCTTATATGACCCAACGCCCCAGCACCGCCAGGAGAAAGTCTGAGTATTACCACATGTGGCACCAAAATTTTTAAAAAAATTAAGTTTCCTTTTGTCTTTTTTTTAATTTGCTTTAGGGCACCAGCTGGCAGTGCTCAGTGATTACTCCGGTGCTGCCTGGGGGACCGTTGCCTACCATGCCAGGAACTGAACTGGGCTCAGCATCATGCCAGGTGACCCTTAACCCCTATTCTAGCTCTCTGACCCCTTAAAATATTGTTTGAAACTAAATTTCTTTTTCATTTGTGTATGGCTATATATACATATGTAATACGTATATATGTGAGTATATGCAAATGTAATATTTATATATGTATACATGTTCAGGGTCACATAAAAAATTCTCATGAAACTGGAGCAATTGTATATGGGAAGGGCTATTGTTTGCACACAACTGACCCAGGTTAAATCCCCAGCTTCCCATATGGTCCTCTGAGCACCACCAGAAGACATCGCTGAGCACAGAGCAAGGAGTCACCCCTGAGCACCCCCAGGTGTGGCCCAAAACACCCTCCAAAATTCTCAGGAGCAAGAACGAGGAGGAGGGAGGAGAAGGAAAGGGAGAGGGAGGCAGGGAGGTGGGGAGACAAGGGGGGGTGGAAGAAAGAGATAGAGGATGGGACCCCTGCCATGTGGGGGCGGGGGGTGGGGGATAGTGGAAGGGAAACTGGGGTTACTGGTGGTGGGAAGTGACACTGACGGAGGGATGGGTGTTGGAACACTGTATGAGTGAAACCCAACCATGAACAGCTTTGTAATCGGCTATCTCACAGTGGGCTGGAGTGATAGCACAGCGATAGGGCGTTTGCCTTGCGCGCAGCCAACATGGCCAACCCGAGTTCAATTCCTCCGTCCCTCTCAGAGAGCCCGGCAAGCTACCGAGAGTATCTCGCCCGCACAGCAGAGCCTGGCAAGCTCCCCGTGACGTATTCGATATGCCAAGCACAGTAACAATATTTAAAATAAATAAATAAATAAAGATTCTAAAAGTTTTTACTTTTTTTAATTTTTAAAAATATTTAAATTCTCTGGGGCTGGAGCAATAGCACAGCGGGTAGGGCGTTTGCCTTGCACGCGGCTGACCCGAGTTCGATTCCCAGCATCCCATATAGTCCCCTGAGCACCGCCAGGGGTGATTCCTGAGCGCAGAGCCAGGAGTAACCCCTGTGCATCGCCAGGTGTGACCCAAAAAGCAAAAAAAAAAAATTAAAATTCTCAGTAAAAATGGGCCATAGGTATGACAGTGGGAAGCGTATGACGGTATAAATAGTATTAAATAATGCCCTCCCCACCCCCGCTTAGGTTTTTTGTTTTGCCACACCTGGCTGTGCTAAGGGCTTACCCTTGGTTCTGTCCTCAGGAATTACTCCTGAAAGTGCTTCAAGGGCCCATATATGGTGCCAGGGATTGAACCCAGGTGAGCTGCATGAAAAGTAAGTTCCGTACTCACCATAAAATCTTCCCCAGCCTCTATATATCCCCACACCCCTTCCTTGTAGCTCCAAAGAAATACATTCATGTATTTAAAAAATATGCCTTTGGACACAATTTTAATGTTTTATCATAAATTTATGAATAATCTCTTGAAATGAGCAATGTAGCTAAGAAATTAGTTATTTTTCTGGAAGTTTGCAGAAAAGCAAGCTGGCATTCCAAGTTAACATCTATCTGCCTTTGTAATGCCGCTCCCTGGTACTTCAGCACAGCTGTTAACCTGCAGGGCCAGGAGTGTGGGAGGCTTACAGGAGGGCTGCAGGCACTGCATCATGGAAGGAATCCTGTCCCAGCACACAAGGTTCTCTGCATGGGGCCAGGAGTAGCCCTCTACAGCCCATATCCCCAAAATTCATTCTAAAAACATGCTGCTACTACTGACAATATAATTTTTATGTAGGGCGTTTGCCTTGCACGTGGCCAGCCAGGCCGGCCCGAGTTCGATTCCTCCGCCCCTCTCGGAGAGCCTGGCAAGCTACCGAGAGTATCTCGCCCACATAGCAGAGCCTGGCAAGCTCCCCATGACGTATTCAACATGCCAAACACAGTCACAACAAGTCTCACAATGATGGAGATGTTACAGGGTGCGCTCGAGCAAAATTGATGAACAACCGGAGGACAGTGCTACAGTGCTACCATAGAAAAAAAAAAAACATTTCAAATATTTATTTTTTACTTTCTATGTGGAAGGGAATGTTTAAAATAAAGGCCAACACATATATAGCTTTAACGTATATTGTTCACACATTTTGTGGAGCAATAGCACAGCGGGTCGGGCGTTTGCCTTGCATGCGGCCGACCTGGGACCCAGGTTCAATTCCTCCCCTTCTTGGAGAGCCCAGCAAGCTACAGAGAGTATCTCGCCCACACAGCAAAGCCTGGCAAGCTACCCGTGATGAATTCAATATGCCAAAAGACACAGTAACAACAAGTCTCACAGTGGAGACGTTACTGGTCCCAACCGCGAGCAAATCGATGAACAACGGGAGGACCGTGCTACAATGCTATAGTGTTCACATTTTGAATTAAGATTCTAATACTGGGTTAAATAGTAACTTTCCATCCTGCTTCCCATATTTAAGCAGCACATCAGAATACAACAGAGTCCAACAGCCAAACTGTCCTCACTCAGCTGAAACCACACCGCAAAGCTCGGAGGTGTTTTCTAGTTGCTGAGCAGTACAAATTCACAATCTAGGGATTTTCCAGAGTTAGGGAGTTACAGAACAATTCTGTGACTTTTCAGAATAATAAATAAATAAAACATAAAATATCTTTTATTTACCACCAACTATTTTCAATCTGTAGTAAGAAAACTAAAGTGTGTGTTTCGGGGCAGGGGGTGGTTGGAGAGATAGTGCGGGGCACTTGCCTTGCATGTTTGTGACCTGGGTTCGATACCATCACCGGCACTTCAGGAGTGATAGCCAAGCACAGAGCCCCGAGCTCAGTTGAGTATAGCCCCCCACCCCAGAAAACAAAACAAACAATAAAATGTAAAGCAAAAGTTGGAGATAAAAATCCTCATCAATCAAGGAGACTAAAATAAGGAAAAGAATAAAGATAAGAAAAAAGGATAAAGAAACTATGGTATATCTACACAATGGAATACTATACAACTACCAGGAAAAAAAAATAAGGTCATGAAATCTGCTTATAAATGGATGGACACGGAGAGTATCATGCTGAGTGAAATGAGTCAGAAGAAGAGGTATAGGAATAGGATGATTGCACTCATTTTGGGGATATAAAAAAAAACATAGTATGAGACTAATATCCTAGGACAGTAGAAAAGGGGTCCAGGAGTACTGGTCCATGGTTGGAAGCTTACTACAACTGGGTGAGCAGTGAAGAGCAGTTAGGATAGACAAGGGACCATTCTGACAATAATAGTTGAAAATGATCACTTTGACAAGAAATGAGTGCTAAGAGTAGGTATCACGGTCACGGTTCTCCCGTTGTTCACTGATTTGCTTGAGCGGGCCCAGTAACGTCTCCACCGTGAGACTTGTTACTGTGTTTGGCATATCGAATACATCAGGGGGAGCTTGCCAGGCTTTGCCATGAGGGAAAGACACTCTCGGTAGCTTGCCGGGCTCTCTGAGATGGGCGGAGGAATCAAAGGCTATACAGTAGTCTATTTAATAGGGTTTTTTTTTTCTTTTAAATTAACAGACGCTACATAGAGACACCGCCTCACAGGTACTAACATTATCAAGAATAATTTTGGGGTCACAATACATACTACATAACACCACCATGTATGAATGAAACATCATTAATGAAAAAAATGTATTCACAACAAAGAATTACTGTCATTCTATGCATAGGAGTATAGTCTATAAAGGACAGCACTCTAAAAGCCTAAGCCTTACTCTCAGTTTAGGTTGAAAAATAGAACTATTCAGTTCATGAAATAATTTGGTCTTAAACTATAATGCCTGCTTCACTTACTCACATTTTTAAAGTGTACTACAAAAGTTTTTCACACAAAAATAAAGTACAAAGATGAACTAAAAATGCTCCAAAGGATTTATATGAAGCTACTGGAAACTATCTTTAAAAAGTATATGAGATAAGAGAAGGAACACATGGAGGGTGCGGGATCCCGGAGGAAAAGAAAAAAGAAAAAACAGGTTCCAAAAAGAGCCGAGAGCACCGGGAAGTTCCAGATGGAGTAGGCGCCGCATCCCGCCTCCCCCAGATGGAACCCTGGTGACCAGAAGCCTCTACAAACACAGCTCGAGTATGCGGGAACGAGGACTTTTTCTCAAATCTGCCGGACTACACCTCCCAGGTAACCTCTGATTCCGGAAGTCACGCCCACAGCCCGCCCCCCAGCGCCATCTTTGAAGCGTTCAGAATAAGAGAAGGAACACATGGAGGGTGCGGGATCCCGGAGGAAAAGAAAAAAGAAAAAACAGGTTCCAAAAAGAGCCGAGAGCACCGGCAAGTTCCAGATGGAGTAGGCGCCGCATCCCGCCTCCCCCAGATGGAACCCTGGTGACCAGAAGCCTCTACAAACACAGCTCGAGTATGCAGGAACGAGGACTTTTTCTCAAATCTGCCGGACTACACCTCCCAGGTAACCTCTGATCCCGGAAGTCATGCCCACAGCCCGCCCCCCAGCGCCATCTTTGAAACGTTCAGAATAAGAGAAGGAACATCTCTCTATATACAAAGTGATCAATGAGAAGTAAACCACCCAATCTTTCTCCCTGAAAATCAGTTAAGTTTGGAGCATGGCCACAGCCCCAGAAACACAAGGACTTAATGCAGAAACTAGCAGCTTAGAGCAGAAAAGTGAACGGACGATGCGTTAACCCAGGCCATCATTTCTGCCCAGAGGGGAAAAGGGTGTTGCCCCATTCGCCCTCTCTTCTCTGGAAAGAAGGATGGCGGCCGCATGGGAGCCTTGTGGACAGCAGGTATGAGCCGGGGGTGTGGGGGCAACTAAAACCTCATGGGAAGGGGGGCGTTCCGGTCCGTCCTTCACGCCCTACCGAGGTCACCAGTTGCCCCCCACGAGCGGCTCTCCAGCACGGCCACAGCCCCAGAAGCACAAGGGCTTAATGCAGAACCCAGCAGCTTGGAGCAGAAAAGTGAAAGGACTATGCGTTAATCCAGGCAATCATTTCTGCCCAGAGGGGAAAGGGTGTTGCTCCCTTCCGCCCTCCTCCCTCTGGAAAGAAAGATGGCGGCCACATGGGAGCCTTGTGGACAGCAGGTATGAGCCGGGGGTGTGGGGGCGACTAAAACCTCATGGGAAGAGGGGCGTTCTGGTCCGTCCTTCACGCCCTACCGAGGTCACCAGTTGCCCCCCACGAGCGGCTCCCCAGCACGGCCACAGTCCCAGAAGCACAAGGACTTAATGCAGAACCCAGCAGCTTGGAGCAGAAAAGTGAAAGGACTATGCGTTAATCCAGGCCATCAAGTCTGCCGGAGGGGAAAGGGTGTTGCCCCATTCGCCCTCTCTTCTCTGGAAAGAAGGATGGCGGCCGCATGGGAGCCTTGTGGACAGCAGGTATGAGCCGGGGGTGTGGGGGCGACTAAAACCTCATGGGAAGGGGGGCGTTCCGGTCCGTCCTTCACGCCCTACCGAGGTCACCAGTTGCCCCCCACGAACGGCTCTCCAGCACGGCCACAGCCCCAGAAGCACAAGGGCTTAATGCAGAACCCAGCAGCTTGGAGCAGAAAAGTGAAAGGACTATGCGTTAATCCAGGCAATCATTTCTGCCCAGAGGGGAAAGGGTGTTGCTCCCTTCCGCCCTCCTCCCTCTGGAAAGAAAGATGGCGGCCACATGGGGGCCTTGTGGACAGCAGATATGAGCCGGGGGTGTGGGGGCGACTAAAACCTCATGGGAAGGGGGGCGTTCTGGTCCGTCCTTCACGCCCTACCGAGGTCACCAGTTGCCCCCCACGAGCGGCTCTCCAGCACAGCCACGGCCCCAGAAGCACAAGGACTTAATGCAGAACCCAGCAGCTTGGAGCAGAAAAGTGAACGGACTATGCATTGATCCAGGCCATCAAGTCTGCCGGAGGGGAAAGGGTGTTGCCCCATTCGCCCTCTCCTCTCTGGAAAGAAAGATGGCGGCCACATGGGAGCCTTGTGGACAGCAGGTATGAGCCGGGAGTGTGGGGGCGACTAAAACCTCATGGGAAGGGGGGCGTTTCGGTCCGCCCTTCACGCCCTACCGAGGCCACCAGTTGCCCCCACGAGCGGCTCTCCAGCATGGCCACAGCCCCAGAAGCACAAGGACTTAATGCAGAACCCGGCAGCTTGGAGCAGAAAAGTGAAAGGACTATGCGTTGATCCAGGCAATCATTTCTGCCCAGAGGGGAAAGGGTGTTGCTCCCTTCCGCCCTCCTCCCTCTGGAAAGAAAGATGGCGGCCACATGGGAGCCTTGTGGACAGCAGGTATGAGCCGGGGGTGTGGGGGCGACTAAAACCTCATGGGAAGGGGGGCGTTCTGGTCCGTCCTTCACGCCCTACCGAGGTCACCAGTTGCCCCCCGCGAGCGGCTCTCCAGCACGGCCACGGCCCCAGAAGCACAAGGACTTAATGCAGAACCCAGCAGCTTGGAGCAGAAAAGTGAACGGACTCTGCATTGATCCAGGCCATCAAGTCTGCCGGAGGGGAAAGGGTGTTGCCCCATTCGCCCTCTCCTCTTTGGAAAGAAAGATGGCGGCCACATGGGAGCCTTGTGGACAGCAGGTATGAGCCGGGAGTGTGGGGGCGACTAAAACCTCATGGGAAGGGGGGCGTTTCGGTCCGCCCTTCACGCCCTACCGAGGCCACCGGTTGCCCCCCCGCGAGTGGCTCTCCAGCACGGCCAGGACTCCAGAACACAGAAACCAATTTCTTAACTATCTGACTTTCAGTAGAAATACTTCCAGGGTCAATAGGTAAAAGAGCAGAAATCCAAAACCAACATTTAATTCTTGAACCCAGCCGTAGAAAGCAAATCACTTCACAATGCTTTTTCAGCATGTCTGATTTGGGGGGGGGGGGGTAAACTCTAAATAATAGTGGTGAATCTTTTATTGAAACAATGAATCTAATCAAAGCAGATAGAGTGTTAACTAGAATTCATCTGCTTCACAGGGACGGGGAGGGGTGGAGGGTGGGGTTTTATTGGGGTTCTTCATGGTAAAAAATAAGTATTGGTAAAGGGAAATGTGTTTGATATTTGCATGACTGAGACATAAACCTGAAAGCTTTGTAACCTTTCCCACAGTGATTCAATAAATAAATAAAAAAAAAAATAAAAAATAAAAAAATAAATAAAATAAAAAAAAAAAAAGTATATGATCTGCTACGAAGGACAGATGCATAAGAAACAGAATTCTATCTACAACAGAGGGTCGCATGGAATGGGTGCATCGTCCAAGCTGGGAGACAGCACCCATGGCTGAAATCCCACCCCAAATGGTCTGGACCCCTGGAATCCACTCCCAAGCATCAATCGAAGAATATCCCCCAACCACTACTGGCTGTGGCTCCCAAGACAAACAGAAAATTAGATGTACAGTTTTTTGATATAGTTTTGCCTCATTGTGTCAAAAATTTCATTGTGTTAACATAGCACTGTAGCACTGTCCTCCCATTCATCGATTTGCTCAAGCGGGCACCAGTACCATCTCCATTGTGAGACTTGTTACTGTTTTTGACACACTGAATACACCATGGGGAACTTGCCAGTTCTGCCGTACGGGTGGGGATACTCTCCGTACCTTGCCGAGATCTCCTAGAGGGATGGAGGAATCAAACCCGGGCCGGCTGCATACAAGACAAACACCCTACCCGCTCTGTTTTCACTCCAGCCCATTTGTGTTAATATATGCTCAGAAAATGTGGCTGAGAAAAGGTGCTTTTTATTCTCTTCAAAGGCTAAGTAGAATCTAGGTGTGCAAGACAGAAAACCTAAATGCAGTTGCTATTCTAAATCTAGCAATACTGAATATATCTCAGGTTCCTTTTCTGTTTTTATATAACTGGATATGAACCCATTCACCAAATAATAGTAGCACTGTTGTCCCGTTGTTCATCGATTTGCTCAAGCAGGCACCAGTAACATCTCCATTGTGAGATTTGCTGTTACTGTTTTTGGCATATCCAATACACCATGGGGAGCTTGCCAGGCTCTGCTATATGGGCGGGATACTCTCGGTAGCTTGCCAGGCTCTCCGAGAGGGGAGAAGGAATCAAACCCGGGCTGGCTGCGTGCAAGGCCAACACCCTACCCGCTGTGCTATGCACCAAATAATAATGAAATTATAAACTAACCTAGAATTTTCTACCACAGAACAATAAGAACCCATACAAATCAAACTGGGCCCAGTCATATTACATAATATCTTTTCTCTATTTATTTGTTGTTAAAACTCCATTTCTTGGGGCTAGAAAGGTAGTACAGAGGGTAGGGCACTTGCCTTGCAGCCCACCTGGGTCCAGAAGATTCCACAAGCCTGCCAGGTTGTGATCCTTGAGAGCCGAGCCAGGAATTAGCCCTGTGCACAATCAAGTGAGGCCCCCTAACCAAAAATAGCAAAAAAATAATAATAACCTCCAGTTCTGAGCTCCTATTATGTGCTTAATGCATTGCACATGTTTACTTCCAAATTTTGAGCTATACACTGTTGAAGAAAATTATGTCACTTCACAAATGAAAAGGCTGATGTTGAGAGAATTTTGAAATGGTCAGGAGCCAGCTCTGTGTTCTGAAGCAACTGCCTCGCCAAAGTGAGTCCACAGGTTTGATCCCTGGAGTTGCCAGCCCACGCTGAACTCAGGTCTGGGTCTCTGCTGCACTGTCCCAAAGGATGCAAGCAAGCACTGCAGCCAAAATTTTGCAAACACTGCAGCTAAAGGTTGTGAACCCCAGCGAACACAGAGATCAAAAGGATGTATGGGCAGTGTGGCCACACCGTCTTCCCAGTCCAAAAGAGCAGCCACCAGCTATGACAAGTGCCTCTAACAGTGGGCAACCCCCAGGGAGCTCTAGGACAGAATACACAGATAGGGAAACCCCAATTAGCATTACAACAACATCAACAGAGAGATGGGAAGGAGGA